TTGTTATTTTTCTGGTTTGCACTAAGAGATATATTCTTGGGTGTTTAATATTTGAACGGCAGAAAAAAATTATTGCAAACATCAGAGAATATGTTTTTTCTTTAGTAATTTAAGCTGGTGGTAGAGTTTGAAATAAATGGATATGTTGATAAAGAATATTGTGAAATAAAATTAATTATAATTATAATTATTTCACATCATTAATACGATTTCTTTTAATGTTATATGTGTTACGTTTTCAGTTTATTTCAAACTTATTCAAATACTTTTGGACAAAATCTTATTCAAAGATCAAAAAATGATATATTTTTGTTATTGTTGGCTGAAAGAAATTTAAAAAAAATAATTGTGATAACTTGAGTGTTCCTCACAAAGAAAATGGTGTCAAAGATGGAGGTCACTTTGCTATGACATGATTGTATTAACCACATTTAACTCAACAACGACATTCATACTTCAATTTAGCATAATAAATATTACACTTAACTTGCTTTAATTAACACTTTTCATATAAGATTTCATACAATATTAGCTAAATTTACGCATAAAATCAACCATGCGACATATCGTACACAAATCTTGATTTCGTTCTATTTTCTGCATTTGATAAATACAGGTCTCCAATGTAAAAATGAATAAAAGTGTCAAACTTTAGCTTGCTTCCGTTTATTTGTAAATTATGTAAATGTTATCATAAAATTGTTGACTAGGTAAACAATGATCAATGGGGTCCTAATGTATAACTTACATTTATATTTACATTGAATAGATAAACAGTGATATTTAGATGTTTGTACATAGCCATCTGCCCGGGCGAACTTTCCGGTACATTAACCTACGATTATACTCATTTACTTTATTAATAACTTCATTAGAGTACGTTTACATCGTTCTTCAAATCCATTTCTTAAAGGCGCTTTTTTGAGGCCCGAAAGCGTAAAAAACCCCTTAAAACTTGAAAATTTTACATAGATCAACTGGAACACTTAAAACGGATAAATATGATAATGATAATTAAGAAATACACTCACATTAAAATTTTTAAAGATATTTAATTCAATTATGGTTTGTTTAAAGCGTTTAAACGTTTTGTATATAATTTTGCACAATCAAAAATATTATTCTGGAGGTCCGAAATAAGCGAATGACCTGAAATTATACACGCAAGTTATTAGTTAAGAAGTACAACAAATGGTATTAAATTTAAGATAAAATATTCCCAGTACCGTCATTTGGAGAAAAAAACATCCAGTGGAGTTCTGTAGATTAAATTTCTAAAATGGAGGAGGCTTAATGCTTTTATGTTGAAACAATATTTTGAGGAATAAAGACACCAGCTTGTTAACCATGTGCATTTTCTTCTGTCACTATTCGAAAACTATTAAGGTTTTTACAAAATGTTTTTATTTGTTTGTAAGAACTTATATAATATTACTTACTGTTTTAAAATAAAGAAAATTGAAAAACAACAGCAACAACTTTATAGCACATATGCATGCACTGATAAATAGGCATATCTAATGTATCTAATGAAGTGTTTTAGTTTTTTTCCAAACCACTGGTCCATTCGGTTTTAATAAGCTCTAAAATTGCATGGTGAAGATTTGGTGTGCATTTTGTAAAGATATACCGTTTTTCTTTTAAAACTTTAATGAGATCTATTTGACATTCCCAATCCTCCTTGGCAAGTCAAATTTTCCACCTTTGCCTACAGTCACACACCGATATCATTTGTTATGAAGCAGTTTAACAAACTATTGTAGATAACTGGTACGTTTGTTGCCGTGATGGATAGCCCTGTAATGACCGTATGATGTCCTAAACGTAATATTTGGTAATATGCCATAACACCCGCCCTCTACAAGTATGTTAAAATGTAAAAACATGATAATATTTGGACATTGTTTAGTCGTTAATATCATGGTAAGTAGCATCTAGAAGTATACAGTATAGTGGTCATTCAATTTAAGAAGTGAGCTCTCAAGTGTCCACTTGAAATTAAATAAACTCTATAGATGTCCACATTCTATGCATTTTAATCATATATCTAAATTTTTATTTTCTTCTTCTTTTTCTTTAGTATTTAATCAACGCGGGCTAACTTTTTTACTCTCAAAAAGTAAGACTTCTTTTGATTAATTGGACAAGAATATCTTTTGAAAATGTTGCCTTACGTGTAAATAGTTTAACTCAATGATCACAAAACAGTTTATCTGAAGTATACTTATAATAAGGAGGCTTAGATACGTTATAAGGGCTGAGGTAAAGCATTATACCACATGGATTTATAACATAATTTACTTTAAGATATAGCCCATTTATTTTTTTAAACTTTCCATTGTAATTGCTCATCAAATTCTAAAAAAAGGACTAAAATCTAATTTCAATACGAACGACGTCTTGTGTTAAAATATATATTTACAGACACCTTTTCATTGTAGCTATATATATTGATGTTAAAGTCTTAAGAAAAAAATAACCTTGATGTGAATTAGATTAGTATATTTCAGAGTCTTTTAATTTGGACTCAAAGCGGAAAAACTGATGATAATTAAATGATGAACTTATATGTAAATATTACACGTATATATATATCTTCATGGTGTCAATACATACATAATGGTCCAACCCTTTAAATGACTTACTTACATCAAACACGCACATTACCATTATCATGATTATAGAGACAAGAATAAAGTACGATATATTTAGTTTTTAATAGGTGAGCCACACAAGAAGTTTGAATATTATTTCATAAATCATTCTGAAATCAAATACGATTCTATATATTCTTATCAGTTTTAACTTTGTTCTTTGCCCATTTTATACGAGTGTCCAAATGAATTGTGTAAATGTGTTGAAATATATTTTTTTCATCGGCAATATTAAAAATTGTGATGCGTTGATAAGTAATACAATGATGAGGAATTCAATTAGCCCATAAAAAGTTCACAAACTATCATAGATATAATGATATAATATAAAGATCAAAGGATACGTTAGAGATAATTGTATCAACATTAGTTATAAGTCATATACTACTGACCTTAGCATAGTGACTTTGCGATATATTATGATATATTTTTGATGTCCTTTAATATCTACATGAATAAGCATTTAGGCATCTATTGTACGGAATACAAGGGCCGCTTGATTGTCAATCTCGTTGTTAATTAAAATATAGGCACTGTTTTGATTAAAACATTTACATTTTACAGTCATAATTAATTTCATCGTTATAAACGGCCAATCGTTTTGTTTGTTTGTTTGTTGTATTTTTATCATTCTGCTAGTCTATGCTAATTCATGCAATACCATGCCTCTAAAATTTGACATGCCATTTCATTCTATGCTATGCAGGTCTGACCAATGCTCTGCTGTATTGTGCAATTTCTTCAATGCAAAGCTATGCAGTAAGGCATTGTTTACTAAATCATCGCAATATCGTATAAGCATATTTCACTTTCACCAGTTACACATGAGCCGCGTCATGACAAAACCAACATAATGCGTTTGCGACCAGCATGTATCCAGACCAGCCTGCGCATCCGCGCAGTCTGATCAGGATCCATGCTGTTCGCTTACTAACCCCTATTACAAGTAGAGAAACTGATAGCGAACAGCATGGATCCTGATCAGACTGCGTAGATGCGCAGGCTGATCTGGATCCATTCTGGTCGCAAACCCATTTTGGTTTTGCCGTGACGCGGCTCATATAAATTCTTAAGATGTACAAGGAGATCACACTCCTGTTAAACCAGTTTCAAACAGTTTTGCATTAATTTAATTGTCATGACTTTGATATATATATAACCATGAGATGACACTATGAAAAGAAAGTCAGTAATGTACCAAAACTATTTAGATGTCTAGACAAAGATAAATAATTGTTGTATGTTTTCATCTAACAAATAATTCTCTAAAATTACTTTATTCCATTTTTCAGACATGCCAAAGTTTAAATCTATAAATCATATTCCTTAAATGATAATTAATATTTTCCTTTTCACTAGCTGTTATTTATATTTGCGGAATGCACTATATTTCCTATTCATCAACTTTTAAGTACAGTAAAAAAAGGCTGTAACTTCGACTTCCATTAACACAACTCTGAAAGTATTTATTATACTACATAAAAACATTTCTGTAGCTAAAAGCATATAAAACATATTTTGTATGTGTAAAATGCTATATATCATTTTATTTCTTCATTTAGATGAAATCTTTTGTACAAACATTTATATACAGCTGAGAAGATTATATTAATATATATTTAGTATAGTAACATCTTATCAATTAAAATTAAAATGTATCGTCTGCCGCAAACCAAATGGTAATGGCTGCACGTGCAGGCATTTAGAAACATACATTTTCGATTTAGCAGTCGACATTTTAACCATATCAAGATATCTCAATATCTATTTTTTAGATTTTGAGCAGTTTTGTATTTCATCAACATTAAGAAAAAGCCCTGTAGTTACTTCCCGACAAAAGAATTTACTAGTTTGAGCATTTTATATTGAATGTGATACAGTAACAAATCTCAACGTTTACGGTATCACTTCTGTTTTAGAAGGGATTAACTTTTCACATTCAGTAGCATATGTTGAATGTTGAATTGTTTATTCGAAAATCATTATCTTTCCTGTCTTGATTGATATACTTTTACCAACCAATGTCATTTATCGATGGCAATCATCTCGCCTTATTAAGGTTTAATTGAATTAAGAAATGCAAAATACCCATACTCTTCAAACGTTTTCAAATATTTTCCCGACCGATATATTCAAATACTTCAGGAGAGAAATTTAGTTTACTTATATGTACATGTATTCATTTTTGTTGTACCCAGTACTTAGTTTGCATGGTAAAGCTGTGTATTAATATCTTGTTCTTTCTTTCTTTCTTTCTTTCTGTCTTTTTATGGGTGTTCATTTGGTAATGCTTTAAGCACTGTTATATTTTACGATGAATGTATCATTTTCCTCTTATGTTTGTAGACATGGAGTGAAGATGTAGCACAGAAAGCAATAGAATGGGGATCTAGGTGTGAATATGTCAGCCGCCCAGACAACAACTGGGGTCAAAATATGAACTATTTCTATGGCAACTCGTACCATAAATCCTCCTTACAGTTGTTTACAGAAACATTTACAGCTTGGTCAAACGAAACTATGCATTATGATTACAGACGATATCGATATTGTGGAAGCAAAAACGTTTGTTCGTATGTTCAGGTAAGTTTTCCTATAACACTATATGTGCATTATCAGATATTTAAAAGGTCGAAAGAGATTTGCACAATAAGCCGTCCAGAATGAACGATTGAACAGGTGCGGTCTTTTGAAATTGTCATGCAAGCTGGACGTTTTTCAATTATGTATATAAAACATATAAGTACAATATCTCAATCAAACCCATCCTGCAACATTCATCCATTTTTATAAAATGGCACGAAAAATTCACTTTCGCTGCCGAAATAACACGTTTACAATGTACTTACTATTACCGTCCATAAACAGGCTCACTTTAACCAAGCCTGCAACATTTTCAATACCGCCGTCTCTTGGCGTTCTTTTGGGATTCCGGTTGTCTATATGTGATTCCTTTATTACATTGTTAATTTTCATCGCTGAAATAGGCGAGGTTCATGTTTAAATCGTATGCATTACATTTGAATTGTAATGTAGGTTATTTAGAATTTCTTTTAAGAATTTCTATACGATGAATATTTAATTCCTATTGTATGTGTATTCTATATTTATATTTACCGCCCAACTCGACTACTAAATAAACAAGACTCATAAATCATCAGAAATCAAGATGACATAATAACTTTCTTGTATTTTTGTTTGAAAACTGATATACTCTAAACATAGAAACTGGCGTTCGCAAGGTGTGGTCCTTACACCCCTATTGTTGCAAATTTAAAGGAAAGGAAAACAGCACTGTTTAGTTTATATTGTGGTTTGACTGTTTACAAGTAAGTGTTGAATACGTTGTTCTAGTGTCCGTCATTTATCATGAAGAAAGTCAAAAACAGGTGTATACAAGGTCCCCTGACACTGATTAATGATGAAAATACTATCTCCCTTTCAAAACATCATCTTAATGAATTCTTACAAAAATTACCTTCTTGCTGCTTTGCATATTTTATGTAACGAAAGTATTTATATAGTACAATATCAGACCCAGCTTGAATCAAATAATATATTAATTAAAATTTTATTTTCATAATATCATTAAACAGTACTCTTTATTATTTTCCTTACATTTGATTAATTGACGATACGTGAGTTTGGAAGGAGAAGGGGTGGAGACGAACATAACTCATTAAAATTGTTAAATTTTGAGTGTGAAAAAAAGTGTTTTTAGGTCAGAACACTTTGGACTAATTAAAACTGAGTTTATAATTTATGCGATATAGTCATATTTCTGAAAATATGCCCTTTCATAAAGTAGATAAAATCTTTAGGTCTTTATGACATTTCTTATTCTACCAAATGAAAGAGCTTGCAGTCATTTTAATGCAATTGCTTACTATCTAATGGAAAATATTTATTAGTTTTTGTTGATTGACACGTAATTTGCATATTTGATATTTGATAATGTATTACCTTTTATATCAACCCTTAATTTAAGAGCAATAAAAACTAATGATACACAATAAAATCGTAATAATATTTGACATAATGATGGGATAGACTTATTTGTATGTGAGTATATCTGAGTATGATTACAACTAATGTCTTTCAAGTATGTAAATATAATTCAAAATCATGTGGTGTAAAATATATCATATCAAAATTCAAGAAACACTTAATTATTTTATTCAGGATCTAGGACTTAAAATCTTTAATATAATAAGTTTGCGGAATACGCTTTCAACCCTTTGTGAGCCTGTGGGAATGTTCCACTCAAGACATACCCTGCTTTTCGACTGACAATACAGAACAAATGTGGTTGCATGATTGGAATAATTCAATATATTGTTATACGATTAAAGCATTATACAAATTTAACTGGAAAAAGTTCAGTTTCTCTTAACAAAAATGAAATATGTTTATTTCCTTACTGTAGGCTTTAAGTTATGCTATCAAAGACGAATTTCTTGCCGTATATTTACTATATACATGTATCAATATTTTTAATATAAAAATTAAATCATTAATCAGAATCAGTATTAATCATTATGTTCAATCAAATGGACGTTCTACGTAACTATGTAAATCAATGCATCTGTTTGTTTGACCTACATTTGAACGAATGGTTAAAGGTAAGGTGATGATCATGTTACTTTAATGCAATGTCCCGGCATTGCTTGTCTGTCACAACTGTGCAGCATTATGCAAGGGAATATGCAAGAAATAATTTCTTCCGTTGTTAACTGTCACTTTCGCTTTGTCAATTAACAAAAGACGCAGAGGCTACGTTCACGCCTCAAGACGTAACGTACTTCTTACCAGTCAGTTTTGTACACATGGCCAATTTGTTAGGTGTCATGTGAATCAGTGAATTAAATTGTTCACATAATATCATATTAATTGTTCGGTACATATCACTTAAATGATGAACAGAAATGCCTTCACCAATGGACCAGCTCGAATTTCGGTTTGTAATGAAGTGGGTTTAGTTCGAATTGCTGTTTAGTATAGACTTGAGGATTTTATAATTGTAATTTAAATAAATGAATATTTCTGAGGTATGACCATAAATTAATTCTAAGAGTTTATGCAACTTGTTAGACAGAAATTATAACAAATCAAATAGTATGTCGTTCAAAAAGCTTTATTTTTCCAGTATTTTTGTAACAAAATATTAGGCCGGACAGTTATGAACGAAAAGTAAATGGTTATTTTTTACCACAAAAGTACAATGCAGTACAGTTCCCGCAGGCCCAATGTCAACTGGGCACATCTGTTTTTTGCTTTTTTTTTAATTAATCATTATGATGCTGATATTCCAAATACCCCATGAACTGTCGAAAACTCGAACTCTGTAGGGTAACAGTTAAAACAGGGGCATAACAAAATCCCAACACTTTTTTTCTTAATCTACCATAAACAATCTATCAATCATATTATAACAATAAAAAGGTGCTATATAAGTATTATCTTACCAGTGTTATGATAATGATCGTGTCTGCCTATCATTATAATGAATTACTATTTATAATCTGATACGCCCTATACTATTTCAAAATTTATTGTTTATATAAAACTAAAATTACATATAAAATGTTGGACATTAAATATGATTTGTCGAGAAATTAACGTCATTACAAATTCATGGACGTAAGTGGAATGTGAAATATTCACTGAAAATCTTATTATGTGCATATAGCTTGCCTTATAAATCTCCCATGACAGAGCACTTTCAGCATGCGATTTATTCTCTCTTTATTGTTAAGACAAGCTTTTCAAATGCGGATATATATTATTTGATTTAGTTTTCACCACTTAGACATTATATCATTCACAAATGTTGGTTTTTTAATGTATCGAGATAACATAACATGCCCAGTAGACAACTGACACTATCTCTACTACTTGAGATTTTCGCACGGGTGTAAAACAGATTTAGCTACTTAAAGCGTTTTGTCTGTTAGATTTGAATACACTGAGATGTAGATGAAGTCATTTTGCCCATATTTTCAATAAGATATATGTACTTAAATTTGATTGAAAAGCAACCGGCATCATTAATTGATATAATGTAATGTGAAGTTACATATTGTGTCACAAATTATTTTCGTGTAAAAATTTATCATATTCGTATCGAAGTGTTTCGCATTATATCGCATCGGGCATAAAACTACTAAAATCATAATATTATCAAATCATGTTTGTTTAATCAAAAGATGATTTATAAATGTTAATTGTAATACACGGAAATGTTTTTTGAATCAGTATAAGAGATAGAAATATCGTAAGGAAATCATCGTGACAAGACTATGTATCGCAGTTTACAACAGTACAGCACAGTATCGCACAATGGTTTAATCCAATGTCCATGTACCAAAAGTACTATGTACATATTGAGCATTCCGATATTTAAAGATCTACAAAGGAAGATTTGTTTTAAATTATAAATTTTGTTTTGTGTTAGTTTATTTTAGCTTAAAATACGATCATGTGCCCCACGATCTCTGGTCAACATAACTACATGTCCACCTCCAGCTTATCGTATCGTATTGCAATTTTTCGTGCGATAACGTTACGTTCTTTTATCGTACCTTAAGTCACCAATAAACAGTTTAGCCGCTAGAAAATGTATTTTCTCATAAATTTAACTCGACTCAAACTATATTCAAAGGCGTTTTCAAACAAACGGCGAACCATTTTAAAAGGAAGAAAAAAATCAAACGAAGATGCATTTTTTTTTAAATAAAAAATAAATTTTGATGCCTCTGTTCGTTTTCCGTTTGAAAATAGATCGTTCAGTTTAACATGTCGTTATGACACCCTTGTTGTTTACGCTGAGGCAATAATCCAATCCGACATCAACCGCTGTTTAAAGTCGCCTCATATTACCTTCCTTCGCATCACCAAGTAAAGTAAACAAATTCAGGTGTGATACAAATGAAAATGATAATATTTCTTTTTGTGTTACATAATACGAGTAGGCACCGACCGTCGCTTTACAACATTTTGCATATTATCATTTATTTCTAGAAAAGGTTTAAAATTAATCAGAACGGTAACCGTGGTAACCGTCTACCACAAGGATTGTCTGTTTTCTTTAATCTTTTTAAGAAATAAAATTACCTCATATATTTTATGTCTCATGAAGTTTTAATTCTAGTAAAAAAACCCATGTGTTTACAATTCAAAACTTTATTAAAGTGGATTGGTCTATAATTGAATCACTATTAATTATCAATAAGTATTTTAAATACTGATAAAAAGAACAGCAATGTATCATTTGTATATTTTATAAGCTATTTCTTGAAATGAAATATGGAAAGAGATTATAGTGATTTACTATGAACGTTTATGTGATGAACGACAATGTTTTATATAGAACAATTTATTATCTTCTATATATAATCTTGTAATATCGGAACAATATATATCTCATACTTACCATCAAAATCTATATATATTTTTTTTGTTACTTTTGTAATGTATGATACTTAATACCATATACATAATTATTTATATTATAACAGACCAATTCACTTTAAATGAAATAATATTTCACCGAATTCCCCCGGAATTTAAAGGAAGAATTTAGCTTGCGAGATAGAAATTCGGTCCACAAATAATTCAAGCACGACAAAACATAAGCCTCGATGTTTCAAATGATATCTATTTTATATGATATCTTAATTAAATCAGAGAGACTTTTATTACATTGTAATGTATCTATTATATGGCGAAGACGCTACTCGTCAAAAGCGAAATTTGATTAGAATGAGGACTAAATTTCAATTGATGGTAGGATATCACACTAGATTTGAAGACATTAGGTTGTTAACTGATGTTGCACAACAAAAGAAATTTTAAATTAATTGTGAAAAAGAGAAAAAATAACGATGCATTTTTAATAATATGTCGTAGTGATACAAGCCATCTTTTTGAATACTGTTAGATCCGTGTTTATTCATGTTTAAGTGATATGATGTTTGTAATTACATTCTTCAAAGAGATATAATGTTTTTTATGATAGCATTATTTTGCTGAATCAACGTTCAAAATAAACTGCACAATGAATTGAGCGATAATGAAAGGACTGAAAATAAACCTTCCTTCATAGAAATTATAGTACCATTCAAGGCAATGAAGCATTATTCATTAACAATAATGCCTCCCTCGTGGAAATGTAGCCTCATTCTTGGCAACATAGCATCATTTGTGAATTATAGCCTCATTCATGGCAATATAGCCTCTGTCATGAAAAAATATCCTTAAAATAAGATTTTTGAAAAGGATTTTAGAAAAGCAGCATGTCATGAATTACGAATTACTTGGAGTAATTGCACCATATAAAGGATTTACAGGAATAACTTTTTTCATTAATATATCGTTAAGAGAAAGTCTGCATTTAAACAAAAACAATCATAACTTTAACAATTTTCCACTCTGCTTTATAGGTGATTTTAATTTGCTTATCATTTGTTTGAATTAATATATTTGATACAACAGGATGGCTTTAGACGACAGGTAGGTATTGGTATTCACTAGTATATATTATATAGAACAAACTCCTTATGTAATACCCTCTGACATACTGTAAAACCCTCTAACATACTGCTTAACCCTCTGACATACTGTAATACCCTCTGACATACTGTAAAACCCTCTGACATACTGTAATACCCTCTGACATACTGTAATACCCTCTGACATACTGTAAAACCCTCTGACATACTGTAATATCCTCTGACATACTGTAATACCCTCTGACGTACTGCTTAACCCTCTGACATACTGTAATACCCTCTGACATACTGTAAAACCCTCTGACATACTGTAATACCCTCTGACATACTGTAAAACCATCTGACATACTGCTTAACCCTCTGACATACTGTAAAACCCTCTGACATACTGTAATACCCTCTGACATACTGCTTAAACCTCTGACATACTGTAATACCCTCTGACATACTGTAAAACCCTCTGACATACTGTAATACCCTCTGACATACTGTAAAACCCTCTGACATACTGTAAAACCCTCTGACATACTGTAAAACCCTCTAACATACTGTAATACCCTCTGACATTCTGCTTAACCCTCTGACATACTGTAATACCCTCTGACATACTGTAAAACCCTCTGACATACTGTAAAACCCTTTAACATACTGCTTAACCCTCTGACACACTGTAAAACCCTCTGAAACACTGTAAAACCCTCTGACATACTGTAAAACCATCTGACATACTGTAAAACCCTCTGACACACTGTAATACCCTCTGACATACTGCAAAACCCCCTGGCACACAGTGAAACCCTCTGACATACTGTAAAAACCCCTGGCACACAGTGAAACCTTCTGATACACTGTTAAATCCTCTAACATACTGTAAAACCCTCTGACATACTGTAAAACCATCTGACATACTGTAAAACTATCTGACATACTGTAAAACCCTCTGACACACTGTTATACCCTCTGACATACTGTAAAACCATCTGACACACTGTAAAACCCTCTGACATACTGTAATACCCTCTGACATACTGTAAAACCCTCTGACATACTGTGAAACCATCTGACACACTGTAATACCCTCTGACATACTGTAAAACCCTCTGACATACTGTAAAACCATCTGACATACTGTAAAACCCTCTGGCATACTGTAAAACCCTCTGAAACACTGTAAAACCCTCTGACATACTGTAAAACCCTCTGACATACTGTAAAAACCCTCTGACATACTGTAAAACCCTCTGAAACACTGTAAAACCCTCTGGCATACTGCAAAACCCCCTGGTACACAGTGAAACCCTCTGATACACTGTTAAATCCTCTAACATACAGTAAAACCCTCTGACATACTGTAAAACCATCTGACATACTGTAATACCCTCTGACATACTGTAAAACCCTTTGACACACTGTAAAACCCTCTGACATACTGTAAAACTCTCTGACATACTGTAAAAACCCTCTGACATACTGTAAAACCATCTGACATACTGTAAAACCCTCTGACATACTGTAAAACCCTCTGACACACTGTCAAACCCTCTAAAACACTGTAAAACCCTCTTGCATACTGTAAAACCCTCTGACATACTGTAAAACCATCTGACATACTGTAAAACCATCTGACATACTGTAAAACCCTCTGACACACTGTCAAACCCTCTGACATACTGTAAAACCCTTTGACACACTGTAAAACCCTCTGACATACTGTAAAACCCTCTGACACACTGTAAAACCCTCTGACATACTGTAAAACCCTCTGACATACTGTTAAACCATCTGACATACTGTAAAATCCTCTGACATACTGTAAAACCCTCTGACATACTGTAAAACCCTCTGACATACTGTAAAACCCTCTGACATACTGCTTAACCCTCTGACATACTGCTTAACCCTCTGACATACTGTAATACCCTCTGACATACTGTAAAACCTTCTGACATACTGTAAAACCATCTGACATACTGTAAAACCCTCTGACATACTGTAAAACCCTCTGACATACTGTAAAACCCTTTGACATACTGTAAAACCATCTGACATACTGTAAAATCCTCTGACATACTGTAAAACCCTCTGAAACACTGTAAAACCCTCTGGCATACTGTAAAACCCTCTGACACACTGTAAAACCATCTGGCATACTGTAAAACCCTCTGACATACTGTAAAACCATCTGACATACTGTAAAACCATCTGACATACTGTAAAACCCTCTGACATATCGTAACATCATCTTTATAAATTGTAATGGAGTGTTTACATTAAGATGTAATAAGTGTGACAGAAAACGTGGTTGCAGATTCTTTACGATATTTATAACCTAACGCAGATATTGCTCTGTCATTGATGAATATTGTCAACTTAATTATCATATTTTACCACATTTTAAGCACATTTTTACGCCATATGTTGCTCTAATTACATTTATGAAGCTAATTTCATACATGATATGTCATAAATCGCAGTACATTTATCAGATATTGTCTTTTCCTTTTACTTCAATTTGCACTTGAAAATGTAATTTGGGACAATACTGTCTGAAAAGAGATTGTTGTTTAAATTTTTATACAAAATGTACACTTATTTGAAATTAATTAAAATATTTGATACAATAATGGTAATATTTCAAGTGTTTTTAATGACATAATAACGAATGAATATCAATGTTTCAAAATATTATTTATTTTAATATCAACACGACAAAAAAAATCTCATAGGTTTAAAGAAGTCAGATATCTTTTCGATTTTATGTCCATACAACTTTATTTTGAATTCCTAATTCACTCCTTTTCAAATGCAGCGATTTGTTGTTTCTAGTACATGTATATACTTTCCTTTGCCTTTAACCTTATAATTAGCAATAGTTAAATAGATATTCATACCGTCTTAGCTGTAAAACATGTATATACAACTTGTATATGTAAAAGAAGTATTTTCTTTGAACGCTAGATATTTTGGTAATACACCACTAGTACATGTAGACGTTTAATTACATAAGGCGATGCTATTAATGTGTCCTTAGTGTCATATTTAAGCAAACGTTTACTTCAGATAGATTCTATTACACATTCTTAACGCTGTTTCTTCACTTACTTTTTGTTCTACTAAATTAAGAATTCTAACACGACCCACATTTTTCCCTTTTGAACATAGAAGAACAGAAAGTGTGTGTTATTATGCAACAGATGCACAGTTTGACGTTCTATATATAGACATGTGACGTAATCATTATACACGTGACGTAACCACTAAAATTCAGACGCGCTGAAAATAAGTACGAAAACAAATCAGGCGCAATTTTGCTTAACTATAAAGTACGGCAACATTTATTTGTTGATGTCGTGTTAGAATCGAAATAATATATCCAAATCAATGATTTTATCGCTTGATAACGCCCTCGTGATATAATTCTTCGCATCCGAACTCCAAACAGTGATGTTATTGAGCGATAAAATCACTGTTTGGGATATATTATTTCTTAAATAATATATCCCAAACTGTGATTTTATCGCTCAATAAAATCACTGTTTGGAGTTCGGATGTGAGGAATTATATCACGAGGGCGTAGCCCGAGTGATATAATGATGCGCATCCGAACGACAAACAGTGATGTTATCAAGCGATAAAATCACCAATTTGGATATATTATTTCGCTTCTAACACGACATCAACAAATAAATGCTGCCGTTCCTGATAATTAGCTAAATTGCGCCTGAGTTGTGTCCGTACTTATTTTCAGCGCGTAACATTTTTAGTGGTTACGTCACGTGTATAATGATTACGTCACATGTCTAAATTTAGAACGTCAACATGTGATTTTATTGCATAATAACACACACTTTCGGTTCTTCTATGTTCAATAGGGAAAAATGCTGGTCGTGTTAGAATTCACGTTTTTACACCGAATATTCTGAAACGCTCGCACACCGTGACACGACATTTGTTTCTTTTCACGAAATAATATGCCATCAAATATTAATATTGTTGCAGAGTAATTAAGATTGACTACATAAAAGTGAAGATAAAATTCTGACTTGTGGAATACTTTCTTTTACAGTTAATTAGTTCTAACCACATCACATATGGACATTAACCCTTATATCCTCTTTAAAGTTATATTATCCTTTGCTCTAATATATAAATCATTATTTCAAAAAAAGCTCAATTTATCATAATAGTAAAGGACAAATTCCTATAAAAAGGACTGCATAAATATCTTAAATGATCATTTACATACAAACTTTGAGAAATAAAACACAAATATCCTATCATTTTCAATGTAACTTTATAGCATTTTCATTATTATGCATATATAAAGCTGTTTCTGAAATATGCATACACTAAATTCTTCCATATTTGTTTTTGTTGTGTACATTTATATGTTCCTTTGGTTCAAGTCTTGATATTTTATTAACGTATCGATGATTTCAGCTTATAGCAGCAGATGTCCAAGAAGTAGGCTGTGCTATTGTAAAATGTCCAAAACTAGAGCTTACTTCTCCAAGAGCAGTTCAACGTCACGCCAAATTGTTCGTATGCTTCTATTCACCATGGTAAGGTTCTTCTGCAAAGGTTGTTTACAACCGAATATATATTATATTTTGACCGGAAGTAAATAATATGTATGATTATTTGATATGTTATTATCAATGCAATTAATTGAATGAACAGATCTAAAATACGTTATATTTATATACGGTGTAATGTTCTGTTACACTTGGTTTCAATATATAGAGGATATTGAATGAGTGTAAGTTCAATACTGAATTTATTGCACGAGTTGAATGAAATTATATTATGCGAGCCTCTGGCGAGCATAATATTATTTTATTCAACGAGTGCAATAAATTCAGTACTGAACTTACAAGAATTTAATATTCTATTTATCACATACCCAAAATAAAGACCATTTAAAGTGAAATAAAAGTCATTTTTCATTGACGCGCCTATAGTATAACGCTAACATTTAGCGCGTCTTTACACTATGTTTGTGTAACGCTAATGACGTCAAGTCAAAATATATGCACGGCCGTGCAATACCATATTTACGGAGTCGCAAAATCGGCACGGGTGTGTGATAAAGAATATTTAATTTATGATTTTATGCCATAGCCGATATATACATGTTCTTACTATTTGAATAAAGAAAACATTGCATAAGTTTTTAGCAACATTGTTAACTTTCAAATGTTTTGATAATAACATCAAGTATGAGTTTGTATTAGGAATAATGTAATTGCAACATTATTTTAGGTAATAAAAGTCATATTTATACTTTCGTATTTTAATAAAAAAGATTGTTATGTTATTGGAATATTTACCAGTTCATGCATTTAAAAGCTTCCGATGATTTGATTTTATTGCTTTTCAGTTAGATTTATGCAAATGAATATTTTACCAAATTGTTTTCCGTTTTCTATTTGGGTGCTGCCAAAACTTACTTTATTATTTGATATTTTTATTTATTTGTGTTATATAGTATCAATATAACTTAGCGTCTAGTATACAAACTTGAAGATGTGAAAGATTATATATGTGAAATTGTCACATAAGACATATTTTTAACTATTTGGTTCCGCTCATATCACAAAAATCTAGTAAATTACAGCAACTATTAACAAATTGAAATACAAAATATATGCAAATGAAGAATGAAAATAGGCAATAAAATGATTCAAATGTAATAAAAACGTGATCAAATTGATTAAAGCCCACACATTAATGTTAAACAAATTGGAGAACCTCTTTGAAGCCTACAAACTGCATCTTGATTTGTTAGTTTAGTGTTACATTTTATATTTTTTACAAAAAAATAACACCCAGGTAATAAATTATTACACGGGCATTTATCAAGTAAAAGCTTTACACCATCAGATGAATTGATTTACGAATTGCTTTTTAAATAAAATTAAGCAAAAAATCTTCGCCGGTAGGTCGAGTTCAATTGATATTTTTTATGTAATACCGTAAATACTTTTGATAAAAAAGACATAAATACTGATAATAAAACGAATATTGCTTTCAGGTGTTTCTATTTACTATAACATTTTGTCAAACATAAACAATTTAATTTACAAAATTATTTCTGGATCGACAAAAACTTTGGATTTGTCGCAATCTAATTTCATGCAATCAAATTTAATGAATAGAATCGTAGATTGATGTAAAGGTTATTCTACTTGCTAGCTAAGACAAATACATGTAGTTTGAACTGTGTATTCGAGATTTAAATGGCACAAGATACTTAAAATAGGATTTCTTATTCCATGTACATTTATTCGTTGGCTTCTTTGATCTAAGAAGGTACTTCCTCATGCTAAGCATTTTCGACTTACTGTATGTTGAAAGTTACTTTAACTGAACAAATATAATTGCACAGTTTACATGAGAATTTCAATGACATAGATAGAAATAATTTGAAAATAAATATTAGCCTTGAATTGCAATGATATACCGTGATCATCATTTTTATTCATGTTGTTCATAAAATTATGATTGCATTTTTAATCAAAGTGAAAATCGATATTTACAAAGAACCCTGGCAGAAAAAAAGGAAGCCTTGTTATAAATTTTATATAACGTTACGTATGCTCGTTCGAGGACATTTGTTAAAGATTTTTTTAAAGCTCATTGTTGGCTATGTACAGCGTTGCCTTGGTCTTGCGATTTGCTTATATATCTTTGATATATTTCAGTTGATCAAAAAAAATCTACAAATTTATGAATATATAAAACAAACTACAAATGAAACACTTTAAAGTGTCTCTTTTAAAACCAATGTATATGGTGTTTTTTTACTTTTTTATTTAAAACAAACAATATTCTGAACAAATTAGTTTCTTGTAGCTAGACATTGGTCCGACATTGATTCAACTATAATATAACTTCAAGAACCTTGATATAGATACATAGAATTCTCTTTTTAAACTGAACCGTCCATTATTGACGTTCTATTACCGAAAGTAACGTCAGTATACGTCAATATGTTAGTATCATTAATGCTATAATATTCTAACATAAAATATCTGATTTGTTTAAATAGCTTAGTAAGCGAGGAAATATTACATCCAAAAAAATGGATAGCAAGTACTAATAATAGAATCCCACAAAATATTTCTCTAGAAATTTATTATAATGTAACGTCTCAATCTGATAAAATATTTAAAAAGACGTTTTAACACACATCCGTGTCTAATTCAACGATGACACGTCGTTTTCACTTGAGCATTTGTAAGACAGTATATAAAATATCATTTAGACAGAAACTGTCCTGATTGTTCAAGATAGACTTGTATTTCAGATCCGAGAGATATCCTTACTTTAATGCACAGCAAAACGATTTATGACATATTCAACTTGATGCATAATTTACTTGTTATCTACAGCTACCATCATATTTCAGCGTGATATAATGATATACTAAAAGTTATAAAGGATAAAATTTAACTGTGCTAGAAAATTTCAAAAAAATACCGGCTAGTTTTTAATTTAGAAAAAAAATTATTTTATATCATTTAATCAGAAATTAGATTTGTACAAACGTGTTTGATGTAGAGTATTACATATCATTAGATATTATTATGCAACTGTTTAGTAACGTATCAAAAATCCTACAACTATTAACATGTTAAAAAATAAACGTGTTTTTTTTTGCCATCTTCTCTTTTAAAAGTAATCAAATATACCGACGCTTGTCAACCGAAAAATGAATGGAAAATAAAGAAAATATGCATACAAATATTATTTTATGTAAATTACATACTTGAAGGATTAAGGTGACACTATGACATGTGTGTTTATTTAAAGTCATATATTTCACCCATTTCCTGATACGTTATGCAGGAATTTGGTAGCTTATATTCAAAAGGAGAGATAAAAACTATATGAGAATTTGTTATAAGACAAATAATTTAAACTGTTTCTTTTTTTTAAACAAATCGTTCTTGGCTGGTACTTTTTATTCTGTTTATTATGATGAATGTTTTTGTGGCAATTTTAAGTTTATTCTCTAAATTGTGTGTAGTATGCTTATGTACAAGTACCACCTGACGAGTGTTCGTTTCTTTATACAGTACACATTTGATATTGGTTTATTTTGCATTTTAGTTTTGCCACTATTTCTTGTAACATTCCATACATGTACATGTTCTACATGTTCTTTTTAAAAGATATTTAAATTCTTATTAAAAAGTATTAGATTTTATAAATCAACTTCAAAATATATAGATCATATCATCATATACAATATCATATGATTTTAATCATTTATTGCATGACGTCAGCAGTTCATGAATTATGTTATTCTTTAATTAAAACATACGTGTACGTGCGATATATCGTTCGGTGACGTAAATAGCTAGAGTATGCGTTGGTTGGCAAATCAGTTTGGTAATCAAAGAAATTAAAAATAATCATGTGCGTAAACAATGAAATTTTGAGAAATAAACAATACAAAGGCCGGAGATAATCAGATGCTTGCTTTTGTAAAATTGCCGCAAACGTGTTTTATCAATGTTATATAGGTATATTTGAACAAATTGTAGAGGTTAAATATTGACACATATATTAGAAGAATGAAAATAATATTTTAGGTTAACTGAAAATGTAATGATTCTTTGTAATTGTCGTCATTTATATTATTCAGTCGTTTACATGTCTAGCTTTGTAATGATGTACAAATTAATGAGCAAGTGTTTGGTTGTCTTAACACAAGAAGTGTTTTGAAACGATGATGAAATGATCTAAAAAAAAATACCGTTAATACTTTTCCCATAAGAGATCTAAAATCAGAACGAATTTTTTCCCCAATAAGTAAATATCACATTATTTGCATAATAAGTCCCTTTAACGAAGTTTTGAGTATTTTTCACGGAAATTACATACACATGTAATTGATAAACATTGCAGGGTAAACATTTTGGGGTCTGAAGTTTTTATACCAGACAAACGCTGTGCTGCTTGCCCTCAGGGAACGAAGTGTGTAGATAATTTATGTTCAGGTAAATATACTTAATTATCTTAAAACTAATACAAGTATATCCCTTATTTCTATCACATATAAGAAAGGTCAATGTTAAACTCTTTAAATATTTATTACGTGTTTAACTTGTTTTCACTCCCTAGTTCCATATTCAAAATGCGAGCGGTATATTCTTTTAGATGCTATGCCGGTAAAATAACGTTTATTCTTTTCAGCACGATTTTCAACACCTGGTGTTCGAACACTTCCTGTAGGAAAACCAAGTGCGGCGATTGAGTCAATATCTGGTATGTTCTAATACTCTTTTGGAATGTACATGTACCTAATAAAATATGCGATAATACTTGCTCTCGCAATTGTCTTGAAAATATAAGTTCTTTATATGACGGTATACCCATTAGTTCGTCTAAAAATATCTATTCAAATCAATGTTGTATTTTCAGGCTCGACATCATCAAAAGCAAGTCTTGCACAGCCAAGGCCAGTTCCTACAACAATATCGGGAGGCAATAGGAAAGAATCCAGACAAGAATCCCGACCAAATAACGGCGGTGGATCTAGAAGGGGAAGAGGACACAGAAATCATAAACGCCAACCAGTTGATAGAGTGGTTGGAAGCCATAATTCATTTAGGTAAACAATTCTACAGTAATGTGATGCATGTTGTTTAATTCTAAATATTTGTTCTAAATAAGGTTACATGTACGGTTGGCAATGAAAATATTGGCATGTCTATGTCTCTTTAAAATGATAATCATGAACTATTGAGGGACAGGTACACATCGACACAAATCTAGCATTTAGTCTTTCAAATTCACACTATTATTACTCGATCTTTTCCAGAGACAAAGATTTCAAAAACAAAATTGAATTAGTTTTGTTTAAATAACATTTTACTTCTATCATATAGTAAAAATATTACAATATAAACGGATTAAGTAGGAAATCTGATTTCATGAAATTCGTGTTTATTTTAATAATACTTTATAGATGATGTTTATTATATCAGTTTTATATGTTAAAAATACAGATGAGCAGGATTGTTCATTACCAAATTATTTCCGGAAATTACGCAATTTGGTCAATGTATACTAAAGATTAGTGTTAATTCTGGAAATAGAGAAAAATGTTGAACAATATGTACACCTTGTTTCATACCGCTTGTAAACTCTATATAAGTTAAATGTTGTTAGATTCAATTTTATGTAATATTCAATTTTTATTATTTATTTTTCATTCATTTTAATATAATACTCCTACTAAAAGTGTACATAGGTCTCTATTATGTAGTATAATTATAATGATATATGGCTTAGATCACGACTAATGAAAACAGCGGTTTTATTCTAATACTTATTATCGTATCAAAAAAATGAAAACCTTCTTTTGTTTGGTATTGGATTGAAGCTCTTTTATTTGTATTATTTATAAATGAAAATGTAATCTTAAATTGTTCATCTTTACAATTTTTATCACTAATTTAATGAATTAAGACATGGTGCCTTTTTGAAACATATAGATATTCAGTTTAGAACCATGTCACGTGCGGTTTCGTTATTGTAATTAACAAAACGCAACTTTAGACAGTCGCATGTCTAATCTTGGAGACAAAACACAAAGAATGGACGTGCATTACTCATGCAGTAAATCTTCAGCTTTTGGCATATTAAGCACTAAATATAACATAAAATCTGAATGAATATGTCACAATTATTATTTCATAAAAACACCACATGTTTCTCTAGTATAGATATATAAATTCTACATTGTTATAAAACGTGTTCACATTTGTATTGCCAATGAAGAAAGAAGATATGACATTTTTTTAACTGTTGTACTGTGAGTTTCCGAAGAATTGTAATGTTAGTGTTGTATGAATATAAGCTTGTCAAGAAAACCTTTCAACACGACTGATTTCAAATTCTACAATTTCTCTCTTCTTCGTGTAGTGTCCATGCTTCGGGTGTAGGTGATCCATTTCTTGAACAACAATTAAGATATCATTGTCCAGTATATTGCTTACTTAACTGTCAAAAGTCACATGCTAAATCATTTAAACGTCTTATCTGGAAATATGATCAATGCAACTTTAATAATATGCGACGTGAAGCGGCTTCATATAACTGGGAATCCCTTGAAAGTGACGATATCGATACTTATGCTAGTAATATTACTGAAACCTTGATTACATTATCAAAAAAACACATTCCAAACAAAATAGTTACTATAAGACAAACAGACCCTCCTTGGATGCATAATGAAATAAGAAAATATATACGGAAAAGAAAAAGGGCATATGACAGAGCTAAAAAATCAAATAATATTGAACACTGGAACAAATACAAAACATTAAGAAACAAAACAACTCACCTACTTAGAAATGCAAAAACAGATTATACTAAACAATTATCAGAAAAAATAAAAGGAGAAAATTTAAAAACAACAGATTACTGGAAAATTCTCAAACAATTCATTAAACCAACAGTAAATAGTAAAATTAAGATTTTGAATGATAATGGCACCATATTGACTTCTGACACTGAAAAAGCAAATTTACTTAACCAATTTTTCCAATCACAATCCTCACTTGATGATAAAAATAAGTCTTTACCAAACTTTCATGTACATCAAAATATTAATAAACTTGACACAATAAATATAACTTATGATGAGGTACGTGATACTCTTAAAACTCTCAATGTTGGTAAAGCATCAGGACCTGATAATATCAACAACAGGATACTAAAGGAATTGTCAGAAGAACTCTCTGTACCTCTCTGTCATCTTTTCAGAAAATCATTAACAGCTTGTAAAGTCCCTTCACAATGGAAGCTTGCCAATGTATGTGCAGTCTACAAGAAAGGTGACCCCTCAATTGTTTCTAATTACAGACCTATATCACTTCTTAGCACGATCAGCAAATCTTTAGAAAAAATTATACATAAGCATATATTCAATTTCTTTGTTGCTAATAACACAATAACTTCATTACAATCTGGGTTTGTTCCCAATGACTCAACAACAAATCAACTTGTTTCTATATATAATACATTTTGCAAAGCCCTTGATGATGGAAAAGAAGTGAGAGCTGTCTTTTGCGATATTTCAAAAGCCTTTGATCGTGTCTGGCATAAAGGTCTCATTTTCAAGCTTCAGTCTGCTGGAATAAATGGTGGGCTTTTAAACTGGTTTAGTGACTATCTCAGTGATAGAAAACAAAAGGTGGTTCTTCCAGGCGGTTCCTCTCAAACCGTTTTTATTTCAGCCGGAGTTCCTCAAAGGTCCATTCTAGGCCCTCTTCTCTTTTTAATCTATATAAATGACATTGTTCTTGACATTAACTCATATATCAGACTCTTTGCAGACGATACAAGTTTATATATCATTGTTGATAATCCACTTCATGCTGCGGTGACTCTTAATTCTGATCTGAAAAAAATTACAGAATGGGCAAATGGTTGGCTTGTAGACTTCAATCCAAGTAAAACGGAATCAGTCATTATCTCTCGTAAAGTAAACAAACCAATTCATCCCCCATTGACAATGAATGGAGTGCAAATAAATGAAGTGACCTCACACAAACATCTTGGAGTAACATTTTCTAATGATGGAAATTGGCATTCTCACATACAAAATATTACCAAAAAAGCCTGGCAAAGAATTTATATAATGAGATCTTTGAAATTCATTCTTGATCGTAAGTCACTTGAAACTATATATCTCTCTTTCATTCGGCCCCTTCTGGAATACTCGGATGTTGTTTGGGACAACATAACTCAACAAGATGAATTTGAACTTGAAAAAATACAACTTGAAGCCTGCAGAATAATAGCCGGTACAACAAAACTTGTTTCTATCTCTAATCTTTATATGAAGATACTTGCATCCAATCCCTTAAAGTAAGACGCTACAAACACAAACAAATTCTTCTTTATAAAATGTTCAATAATCTTTCTCCTCATTACCTCTCTTCATTAGTTCCCGATACAGTAGGAGAATCTTCAGATTATAATTTACGAAATGCAGACAACACTAGAAATATATTTTGTCACACACAACTTTATTCTCATTCATTTTTGCCATCATCAATTAAAGACTGGAACAATCTTCCTGTTAATTACAGAAATTCACCATCCATTTCAATTTTCAAAAGAAGACTTAATGAAGATGTTCAAAGTGTGCCTTCTCATTATTATGTAGGTGAGAGAAAATACCAGATTATACACACACGACTTAGAACACATTGTAGTTCTCTCAAAGAACATTTGTTTTCAAAAAACATAATAGAAAGTCCCCTATGTGAATGTGGTGACATAGAAAACACATCTCATTATTTCTTCTCGTGTCCAAGGTACCAAGATGAACGAAATGTCCTCCTTAATAATTTAAGTGAAATAACAACTGTCACACTTAACGTTTTACTCTATGGTGATAATTCAATTGCTGACGATTTAAATGAAGCAATAGTCCTTCATATACACTCATATTTACACAGAACAAAACGTTTTGAAATGTAATAGAAAGTTATTTTTTCGACTAATATGAAATAGAGATTTAGATGCATAATATCTTCTCAAAAGTATATTGTAAACTCGTTCCATCAACTCCATAGTATTTTAGTGACCATTCCTGTTGTCTTTCTTTTTCTTTCTCTCAAATCTGTCTCTTATTTCCTACCATCTATTACCCAACAATTTCAACAATTAACTAACGTTTCCATTTATTTATTTTTCTTTAAATTTTTTTAAAACATGCTTTAAAGTTCTATTATTTTTCTTGAAAAGTTTAAACGTGCTAATCTGTGCATTTATCACTTACGTGTATTTATGCTATAGAACTATAGGGTTTTCTTTCACATTTTTATGTCAATATTCTATTATTAAGGTCGTTTCGATTAGGAAAACCAGAGTGTAAATTGCTAACTTTCCTGTACATGTAAAGAAGCAAGTTTATAGTGAAAATGTTATGTATATTTAACTCAAAAATGCATATAATTGTTACCATTTTACATACTGTTTGAGATAGTGATTACGGAAAGAGTTTTTAAAAAAGCTTTCAAGCTTACTACTCAATCCGTACTATTTATTATTTGTCAATTATCATGTAAATGTAATACTTATAAATAAAATATTGTTTAAACTAAATTCTACAATTCGTTTTAAAAGCGGGAAAATGTGCTAGTTTTCCTGAGGTTTTGCAATATTACATTTTATATTATATACAGTAAAAATGATGGAGAGAAACAGAACAACAGGGTGTATCAAGAACATCGTGGACGAAATGAGACCATTGTAGTGTATACACCGAATAACAGAGTTATTCCTTTTCCAAGTAAGTGATGTCAACAGTTTCTGCCAATGCTGGTATGCAAAAATAATTATCTTTCAAAGTACAACATTTTTGGTGCATTAGCGAAGAAGCATAAAATTCATCTCGACATTGATAGAGGTAATCAGTTTAATGAAATTTTATGATAGTATTTTGATAAATTTATACATTCTATTTGATCAGCCCCAAGTCTGAAACAATTTAAGAAAAAGGAATAGAACGATAAAACTGCTATAGTTATTGCTGTACTAATTAATAACAAAAATTCTGTCTACAGGTAGATCGGACAAGAGAAATATAAGGAGAATCGAGAAATTTGAGCGAAGGGAAGAAAAGGACCTTGACGAAAAACAAGAAAAGATTATCCATAATTTAGAGCTAGTTGCAAATAACATAACTGTGGCAGACACATCATCAAATGTAAAGCACGGGGGCAGTAGAAGTAAGAAAAACATCAAATTTTGCGGTTGAAATAATTTCAAAGTTTATGATTAACATAAAGTGTTTTGTTGTATAATGTTTGTTTATGTTTATTTATGAATAATTCGTGATATTAACTTCCTATGTTGTAACAATGATATTAAAATTTGGTGTGAGCTTTTTATAATTTACGCAAATTATCTTAGAAGATTTTGACTGACTGTTTTATAACATAACAAGTCATTTTCCAGTCTCTTAAATTAAAATGCCCTGATTCTTTTGAATGAGCAATTTTGTGTGACTAACACTTGTCTACAGGGTTTTATACTTCATTTAAATAATGACGAATATTTTTGTATGTGTTCATTAAATTTAACATAGTATTTTCGTTGTAATGTTTTACATTATTGTTGACTGTTTTTAACGTCTAGGATTGCGTTTTGATTGTCTAACTAAGCTAACATACTTCAGAGAAACGACAGACTTCCTTACAAGACGCTCTTTACCAGAGACGAATAGAATATGAGAGATATCTTAGAGAATACGAAATGTTAATGCGTGAAAGAAAGGAACGCCGCCGGCGTTACGAGGAGCAATTACGACGCCGAGAGCAGCATTACTCAGCAGTGCAAGAATTACGGCGGGCTGACGCCGTTTCGCGTTATAACGAAGAAGTACAAAGAAGACATCAACTTAGATTGCAGCAACAAAGAAGGCGATACGAAGCATTGGCTCTAACCCAAAATGAAGGTGCTTTAGTTGGAATACCCTTTACCTTTGCAAGTGCTTTTGTTTGAAAGGAACCTAAATCCGTCCTTTTCACCCTTTTATCATTTTGATCATATAATCTCTTCCTTTAAACAAATGTGCATAAGGCAATTTAGTTTAAGATCATCCTCTTTTAGATTTACAAATGATAAAATAATGTCTTTAATTTAAAATTAAGATTGTCGATTATGTTATTCCTCATTCACAGATTCCATTTAATGACATACTTTTTTGTCCTGGCTGAAAGAACAATTATATGAGGGGTTTTCTTTATTTTTCTTTTCTTTTCTTTTCTTCATAGATAGATTGTTTAACAAAATAATTCATCAAGTTCATATTTTTCAGCTTCAAATCTGATTTAGCAATTCATTTTATATTATTCCTAAATAGTTACTTGCTGATTAAATATTTCTCTGGGATTTTGCTTGTTATATGTAAAGCTTCCATTTCATATATACTTTGTCATTTTGATTCAACATTGCGCTCTGATGGCTTTGTTTACATACAGCATTATATGCACAAGAATTACGTCGGCGTCACAGATTGAGAGAAGAACGAAGAAGATACGAAGCGCTTGCATTGTTACAGAATGAAGGTGCATTAGCACGTAGCTTAATATAATTATAAAGCTCAGAGGGAGAAATATAATATGTAGTCACTGAGCAATAAAATGTAGCTTTCGGTTTGCGGCTGTTTGTACTTATACCATTAAGTGTTTGTGGCTTCTTTGGTGTGGATCTTTCTGTTTGCTTCTGTATTTTAAAGGAACTCCACTGAGGTCAAAAGGCCTAAAACTTCAAATTTGAAAATCTTACAAGCATGAAGTGAATCACTTGAAATAAAACAATCTACACAGAATGATAAAGGAATTCACTCAGGAATAACATTTAAAATCCTCTAGTAAATGCAATTCTTATCCCAGACGATTTGAGTAAAAGGGTTGCAAAGCTTTTCATTTTTGGGTCATTTTGCAAAATAAAATAAATATCATTCTTGAAAAACGGTGTAAAGGAATGACCTGAAAATTTGCACACAAGTTATTGGGTCAGAACTACAGCAAATGGTATACACATTTCGGAAAAGTATGTCCAGTTCCGTCATGTCAAAAAGAAAACTCAGTGGAGTCCCTTTAAATATAAGAATTGTTTTCATTATATCATTGACAAATTTATTGGCTAAGAAACACTCTTATTTATAACATGTCTTTGTTTTCTTTTCTTTTGATTTTAATTCGATAGGAATTGCTGATTTATATTTTAGTAACGTAGCAATTTTAGATATCATCTGAAAACGTATGGAAAAGTAAAATGACAATGAAATTTTAAGTGAGTTGCTGGGGAAAAGAAGATCAATAATTTGAAGCAATAAGTTAAATCATTTGAACGTAAAATTATTTTTCTCTCTTTTTTCAGTACGATAATCCAGAAACATTAATACGACGATAAAAATTATTTAGTCGGAGAAATCGGTTTTTGTAGAATTTTTAAATATATAGAAGTACAAAAACATGTAAAATGTTATTTTATTGGTTAAATAATGAAAATTAATTGCTTTTTGAAAACAATTTGGACATAACAACAATTTTAACAAAGGACACCAATAAATGGATACATGTTCAAACGCTTTACACATTATCAATTACAAAACTTAAGACTGATACAAATAAGTATGTATTGCATATGTTCGTTCATTTGATTCTTCCAAGTTTCACTATAATATACTCATGTACATATTGTATTTCATCATAGATTGAGTGTGACATACACGCTGACTGCTAAATCTTATATCATTTAAATAGTTATATCATTAATTATACGGATATTTAAATAAACGGACCATAAAGTACAGGGTCATACATTTGTTTTGTTGTAATAGAATATCCGGAACATTTGTTTAATAATTTGTACTAATATTTAACAATTTTAAGTCGTATTAACAGTCATTTCAGAAAAAAATGTTATATAATTTTTATATGATCTGTTGAAATCACTGGCAGGAGTTGCGTTCTTAAGATTGCTTACTTCTAGTCGTATAGATATAACTCGAAATAATGTTCCCAACGAAATAGACGCTGCATTTCCTGATATTCGTCAATAACGTTCCATTCAATGTTTTATAATTCAAATTTCAGTATGTAAGAAAATGGTTGTTTTAATGCGATATTATGCTTTCATTTGTTCCAATAATTTTCGCATTGTTAATCTTTTTAACCCTTTCCGTGCGAAAGACATTAAATGAACGTGTCCATCTTTCAATATGGATAAAACCAATATTTACTGAGACTGAATGGCAAACAGTACATTCCAAGATCGCACGGCGCGGATGTGCTGGCTGACCTTTGTCTGTACTGGTCGCATGGTAGACGCTGTTTTCAGTAGCAGACGAAGATTTGATATTTTAAGGCATCGATTAGGTCTTAAAATTATTTTCAGTTTAGATAGTACTTTAGTGTTAGTGCTAGTTTCTATGTCTATTCCATCAAGAACGGTATAATATATTCGCTAAATTGTAACTTTGTAATAATCTAGACCATTAACTTTACTTACTAAAATATAAGTATAAAATTTCTTTCCACAGCTGTCAAAAACTCATTTTTCAACTGAACCAAAGTGTCTAGTCAAATGTCTCTTTTGTGTACGGAAAAATGTGGTTTAACTGATATACGGTGTGATGCACCTTTCATTATAAGGATATATAACATAACAACTTCTCCCAGCTGGACACCTTGTGCACTTTACTTATTTATGAGAAATCTCATTACTCAACATTAAAAGATAATCTTGACACCAGTTTCTGCATTTTACACTTGGTTTGATTTATGCTGCCAAATGCATCAAAAACGTTCGTAAATTACATCTCAAAGCCTTACTGAACTTTCTTCTTTATTTGTCCTAATTTATATGTCCTTTTCAACACAGATGGTTTCTTGCACCTGTATAATTAGTTATATAATCGTAGAGTACCTTACAGGGAAATACATATCAAGCTCATATATATAATAAAAACTTATAAGTTTGCTCGTCGGTATCAAAATGATTATATTAATACATAATAATGATATTTTTTTATTGATAAGGTAGACATAGTTTTTATAAGCAATACAATTACAACTGTAACATTTTAACTTTTTTTGTGTCCACATTTAATTGTCGAAGAGAAATCAATGACATTGATTGACAATTTTCAGGTGATTTGACAGGGGAAGAACAATTCTTCACAATATCTGCACATAATGTGTTGAGACGAGAAGTTAATGCCAAAGACTTAGTAAGTAAACTAGTTAATGGAATACTATGTCCATGTAGCATGTTGAGTTTGATAGCTGTTAAAGTAAATTGCTCATATACCATTGTACATTTGGGCTGAATTTACTATATATTTCAGAATGACTGTTATAAGTTGATAGTGGACAATGTTTAATGTGTCTTCAATATAAAAAGACTGCCCAACTCTTTAAAAGTTAAATTCTGATGGATGTTTATAGAAATTTGCCTTGGCCACATGAGCTATTTATCGTTTATGCGAAATAAATTATCAAATTGAAAGAAATAATGGCAAAATGTAAACCTACTTTTATTTTAACCTATTCACTCATTATACACCCTTGGATGAGCATTATGTCACCCCAAAAGATAATTTTATGTCAAAATTTATGTAACACAAAAGTTGCAGCTTTCATCGTATTCGGGTTGCGATAAGACCAAAGCTTTTTTAGTTTTGGTAAAGTTTAATTTCTACAAATGATATTTATTTTAACATTAATGTGTTTTCCAGGCTTGGAGTAGTTATTTGGAGAGATGGGCGAAGTACGTTATTCGTTGTGAAACAGAATACCCGGGGCCAATTAAATGTTACACTAACTTTGGAAAAGCTGAACCGGTAATCTTAAACAGTCTTGTTTAAACAAAAAAAATAAAATCATTCGAAAATAAATTTAAATTAATTGTTTTATTTAAATGAAAAAGTAAAAACTGAACTGTTGATTTTTTTAAAACTTTTCTCTTGCATTGATGTGCGCTCGTGAAACATCATATTAAAACATATCTTAAAATGACGTTTGATTTACAATTTCAATAGTTCATTGTCAGCAGGCGCATCTAAATATAGCCGTGTATAAATATGCATGTTCTATTTACTTATTAAAAGAATCTAAAACTTTGAAGGGGCAAGATATTTACAACGTAGTTTACCAATGGGGCGCTGAAGGAAACGATCTGACCAGACCACTGAGATACGGTTGCAGGACACCTTATGACCGAACCTTGTGTAATCACAACTCTATCGTAAGTATATCTTGTTAGGTGGAATCTTGATAAGTAGAAGTACATGTATACTGCTTTGATATACAATATTACCGGCAGTTTTTTTTCTTCAGGTAAGCAATCGTCTATACTCTTGTACCCGCTCGTGTGTCCTGTATTTACATAATGAACGGATAGCCACCATATGTCTTTCTGCTTCATTTAAACGCCAAATGACTTTAACATTGTCAGTATTACATAAATTTCAACCGAAAAAAAGGTTGGCATTACCTATAAAAGATGTTTTGAGCTATTTGCTTCTGCCATAACAAAACATAATTTTCCATTCTTTCCTCTGAATTATTTGTATTATTAGAGCAATACGTTACTAAACAAAAACATAAGTTGTATCTGTAGTAATATCAGCTGATCAGATAGTTTACAATATATGCATATTGCACATGCCCAATAACATGTCTAGCCAGTCTCCATGTTAGGGATTTTAGGTAATAAATTTACATCTTTTAGAGTATATACTATTTTGTGGAGTCTACTTGATTATTAGAATTCCCAACAACAAAACAATATGTTTAGAATTTTACCTAGTTTTCAAGTAAACAATATATATTTTGTCACTTTTAAATTGTAAAAAACAATATGTATAATAAAGAAAGATGTGTCAGTAATTGATTTCTTTACAATATTTGTATTACTGAAACCTTTATATTGATTTGCACTGAAATGTGCATGTTACTTGAAAATTATTTTGTATAAGATGTATCATGTACAGATCAAAACAAAGTCTATTCTGTTCTATAATTGCAGATCCGTAATAAGTCCCTGACACAAATGGCATGTGCTTCAAAGAATTGCGGACTACAGCGACAACTTACGTGTGTTTATAGTTCCGGTTAGGTCTAAATTATCATCAATATTAAAATCATAGCATGTATATTTTAGTATTTTCATCTTTCCACGTTTGGGCAAGCACTGAGGATGTCAAGAATATGTTTCGATTTAGAAGAATGATAAAAGGCCAGTAAATAATTGATACTTTAATATGCTTATTAACTATAACGCAATGACTTTTAAACACTTTCGAACTATGTTTCTTTATTCATTGCAAATATCTAGAAGAGGCAGACAAAAATCATGACAATTTCACAAATGATTGTTTTATATATGTAACAAATTGCTACCAACAAAATGAGCAATCAATACATCAGAAACTTATTTCATGAAACGAAAAAAATTGTAAATTTGTGTGTATTTTGTATTTTAATCCAAATATTTGTTTTTGTTTTGACGTACAAACGGTTTATGTATGATGCATTGTATTTAATGATATATGCTAGCTGATGGAAAATATTGACATATAAGTGAAAAAAGTAACGATTTCTTCAGAGATGAGTCAGTAAATGTGACAGTTTTTAATCAAAATTGTTATTTTATTATATGTCAGGTCAGATAATAGAAGCTGTAAACTTCTCTGTGTTTTTTTTAATGATTTTAGTGGTTTTGTACATTATGTTTTGGTAATGATATATTTGATTAACTATACTTCAAGTTTGGAATATAAACATGCATTATGATTAAAAATAAACTAAATAGATAAATGGCATCTAATTATGTAGAAAGATTCATGTGCGGCAAAACTTATGAAGAAAGTTATTGATACTTCATTTTTGGTATAATATCAAAGGCCCGGCATGATTTCATTCCTATAAATTCAGTTACAATATTTTTTGTACTCATTGAGTGTCTTTCTTTTACAAAATTAAATAGATCTATGATTATATTCGACGGTTTTTGTCGATTTTAGTTGCTTATAGCGGCTATAAAATATGATAAAAACATTGAGTGATCAGGGAGACTGAAGTGGAAAATGCCAGTAACACCATATGTCTTTCAGCAAAATTCTACACAAATTACTTGTTAACGTTGTAGTGTGTGCTAATATGTTACTTGGAACTTGCATTTACAAATTGTAAAATTATAAAACAAAAAAGGAGAATATTTTACAGTTAATTAAAGATTGCACAATATCAAAAACCTTAACGTTTACAACAGGGATGTATCATTACATCAAATATGGTTGTGTTTCTTGTGCTTTCCCTTACCAAAAAAAGTTTACAAATAACAAAAGTTTCATAAGACATTGGCCGAAATAAAAAAAAAGAATAAATGCTATATTATTGAGTTTTGGAGAACGTCTCTGTGTGTATCATATTGCTACAGAGACTCTAAACACTGTACATATTCTTATATTATATCCATATGATATACGCTAGACACTAGTTAACTGCGTTCATTTAACAAGTACTACTTTTACAGACAAATATCATACTTGGTAGGTGCAATTAAGCAGTACTTTAACATACACATTTTTAGACTAGTATATTCTGTTTCTAGGTGGTATAGAATTGTATTCAACATTTTGTTTATGTGTATCTTGTAGTATGTCCTATTAACCAATTAAGATATAAAAAAACAAATATCAACGAAATAAATCAACCGAATCTATATTTATGACAGCATCGACTAGCTTATCTGATCTTCAGTTGTTAAGCAATAGAATCAGTATGTGATAAAGCTACTGACATTGAAAGAAGAAGTTTATTAACCAGTGATCGAAGTATAAAGCTTTTCTATTTTATTCGTATATTCCCATCAGTTAAGTAAAACATTTTGTATAAGTTTAAGAACTTTTTTTCTTTGCCCAAGCTAAAGTACATCTGTAAAAGTTTGTATTCGGTCCGGTATATCAGCATTTAATTAGAGGCACGACCACGTGGCTTATTTACACAAAAATTGCCATAACTGATCTGTGGAAAAACATATTTTAGTGCCGTTTTGATGTGACATAATGAGATGTAAACATGCATTTCCAAGTTAAAGTCGTGTTTTGACCAGTATTTAACCAATGGTTTGTGTTACAAGTTAGATAAAATTAAATATTTACTCTTTCCATGTCTTTATTCGTAAATTGCTTCAAAAATTCAGATGGCAGACGCAGTGTCATTATTCGATCGCATCTTTGTACAATTTTGTCTGTATTGCAAATATTGTAAACAACAAAATAGATTAGGCTTCTCTGTCCGACAATCTAACAATCCAAAAGCATGTGGGCATGTAACTGGTCAAATTATTTACATTTCATTTATAAATCACAGTTTAGATATTCTAATCAAAATTAGTTACCTTTCATCTTCTGTATTGTATAATCATTATTATATTTGAATAGATATTTTAGATATTAAACATTTGTTCATGTTTGTTGCTACTTTATTAATGTATTATTAAACTCCATATAAAATATACCATTTATTATTATTGCGTATGCAGTAGTGTTGAATTGTCAATTTGCTGTTATGTATCAAATTTAAACAAGGTATTTTATAAATAAACAATTTCTTATAAAAAATCTGTAGTTGTGGTTTTATTTGACTTTTCCAGACAACATGACATTAGTAAATCCTGTGTTTAAACTAAAGATGTTCAGTCGTCCTTTTTGTTAAGTCAAACTGATGACTTCCAAGCATTATATGTAGAGGTAAACTTCTCTATGCATTTTTTTATGAAAGGAAAACTAGCCCACCTTCAATGAGCTTGCTTGGTAGCTGTTTCGTACATTTGCCATTTTCTTTATGAAAGAGTAATGTTTTATGAAGAAAAGAAAAAAAAACACTATTCCATTTTCTAGTAAAACAGATTGTATCTCATAATTTGAAACATAAGAAACTATAGATCTATGTATAATATCCTATTATGTAAGTGTTTCATATTCTAGTCACTCATTACGAATATAAAGTTCAATTGCCTAAAGCAGCAAGCAACTTTCAAGCGAATAATTCTTGAGAAAAAAGTACAATTTTCCCCGATCGAATAATATGATGACACATTGCAGATGTTTGCCTTCAAGCCATAGGTATAGCTGGAGCCAAACTACATCGGAAAAGACGTCTTGTAACTATATGCAAGGAGTAAGTATGGTAATGAAAACACACAAATACTTTTAAATTACAAAATGTAACAAGAAATCGCAACTAGAGAAAACAAAATTAATCGTTCAAGTCTACATAAAAGCATATACTTGTATCGTTTTCAAGTGCTTGAAATTTCAAAACAAATATCTAGCGCTCATCTTCAGTATCAGATACTGGAGACTGCCTCCTGGGCTTAGACTTCCAGGGATTATTTTCCGATGGTGGACGGTATTGAGGTGCAGGGGTACTTTCCGGTGAGTATTCCTGTTGACGTTTAGCCTGTTGCCTGGGCGGAGTTTGTTCTCTCCTAGGCGGTGTCCTTTCCCTCGGTGGTGTCCTTTCCCTACGAGGTGGAGTTCTTTCTCTACGAGGCGGAGTGCTATCTCTAAAAATTGGCGACGGTTCTCTTTGCGGTGGTGTTCTTTCCCTGCGCGGAGGTGTCCTTTCTCTACGGGGTGGCGTTCTGTTTCTTGGTGTTCTTTCTCTTCGTCGAAGATTCCTGCCTCTGTCAGGTTGTGTTCTATGTCTACGTGGTCTGTCGTAATCATTGAAACTTGGAGACCGCCTTCGTTCTCTGCCACGTGGTCTGCGATCTAGGTCATCACTGAATAGTTTAAAACAAAATTAACGAAAGATATATCATTTTTGGAGTATTTCGTCCACTTTTGTTAACATTCAGGATATTCTTTAAAGTTACACATAAAACAAACAAATAACTCGTTGTTCTCAAGTAGGAAAAGACTTTCTTGTGTCTTTGAACAAACAACGACACAGAACTTTTAAAATTTTAATGGACATTTTATCAAGAATGTATATTAAAACAAGTAAACTATCTAATATGCTGCTATAATAATTGAACTCACATAAACAGATGAAACGTTTTTGTACAGAAAATGTATAATGAAATAAAACATTTCAGGTAAGACAACAAATGACAGACAGTGTTTTGATTTGTTCTCGGTTATTGGTAGAAACCATCGCCATTGATAGATCCCTACTGTGACCTTTTATTCAAATAACAACATATCTTTTGTTACGAAATATTTTGTGGTGAAATTCTTATTGTAATCCACTTATCTGATCATTAGAATTAGGCAGGTTTGGGATCTATGCATTAAGTTTAAAAAAAGGAATATTTGAGTGGAAACCCATGCTTAACTAAATACCCTTGGTATGTGATTCGAAGACACGAAATATTTAGTGGTTTTGGACATAGAATTATGCTGCTAGATTTTCTTAATTTCCGAAAACGTATAATTCACATAGAATAGCGCCCACAATCATGGAGACATTTGTGATCCTTAGTGGTTTATACAAATACCATATGAAGTTACACCCTAATAATATCTGTCATATGTTGCGGTTCGTCCCGAGGGGATCCGCCCAATGGGCGGTAAAGAGGCTTTGCCACGTTATCCTAAGCGTGCCATTACACACAGAACGCGACTCATCCTCGTACCCCCATATGCCAGATGAAATTTTAAGCATGGGTAAAAAAACTAACGGAAACACCAGTCTGATATACAAGAAAAATTTGTCCAGACCTATTGCTTGCGTGAGTAGAAACCCCCATTCTTCTTCGAAAAATTTGGTAAAACGGCAAATGTTTAAATATCTGGATCAATTTCGGAAGTGAAAAGTAACACTGCTATTTTGACCCATTATCAATATAAATAAAAGTTACAATAAGTGAACACAATCAAAATGAACGCAAACAAAATTGTTTATACTTTTATTTAAATGTTCAATAAATAAAAGAAAATCAACATAAAATAATCAAATTTAATTAAAAAGAAATATAAATTATCAAATAAAAAGAAAACATGTATAATAAGAAATATATTAAATATACTTTGTTTTGTATCTTGCTAATAACCCATAGATCTGAATATTATCTTTAAGAAAATTAAATCATAAATACACGAGTGTTTTAATTCAAATTAAATTACAATTCCGTTTCCTTTATATAATATTAATTTAAGTATTAATGTCTATGAAAAGATACACTTAGGGCGTTCCTATTTAATAAATCAAAACAGATGTGAGTGTTAAAAACGGAACTTACACAACCAAGCATCATTATATTGTGGCATTTCTTTAATATTTTCGTTCGAACTAACAATAAATAATGTTTGATGAACATATCTTAAGCTGCAAATCTGCCTCCGAATAATAACCTGTTAATAACAGATATAAATCCGATCATAGCTACCATTTACGATCGTTAAAGCTTTTAAGAGACCGATTGTAAGTTGTAAGTTGTTTTAGGTCCGTATAAATGCAGTTACCGAAACAAAACACATCTACATCTTCTGGACTTCGTTATAGCTATATAAATACGTTAAAAGGTAATTTTGTAGGTAGCACACATTTATTGTTTGAAATGGCCTTGCAAATTTCTTCACATAAAAATCTCAGACAGTATTAATTGTAGTGTGATTCAGACGGACATTTTATGAATCACAGTGATTATCATCTGGGTGTTAGGTCCTATAGCTTTTTAAAAGATATATATTTAATTTAGTAAAATATCTGTTAGTTCTTAATATACTGTTTTGGAATTCACATATTATAAAACATATCGAATTGTTTTGCAGATCATAAAGTAACTTTTTCAGTAAACTTATACATAAATAAAATACATGATGCAAATACAAAATGCTCGTAGCTTTGATGTTTTAAGGTGAACTGGTGCATATTTCCACTTTTTAAAAAAATAATATTAAGAAGAATGTCCTAATATATTTCATGCTTTAAGCAGATGTTTTAGGGATGTGCCAGTAAATTTCTGATTCTACTTTTAATATATACTTTCTATGATCAATGAATAATATCCATAAAATGCTTTATGAAGCCAACAATGTGGTCATCAAAACAATGAGTCAATTAATAAGGAATTAACATAAATCTGTAATCTCTTAATAAACCTGACAACCGCACAATATATTATTTCAGAGGTAATGGTATTATTATATAAATAAGCACAAGTCGGTTGTCATTTTAGAAAGCAGGGGAGACAACGCTTTTAAATATAACTTATGCCAAATGTAAAACATTAAGTCGTGCAAGTTGAAATGTTCTATGTTGATTTTGTAACACATCGGAAACATAACTATTCGTCAATCTGTTCACTGAACTCTTATATCACAATTTACTCACAGAAAATAAATCTGACCATTAAATCTTTGGATGTATAAAAAAAGTAAACAAAAGCACTTAAAGGCCATCAAAACAGATATAATATCACCCAACCTTACCATCAACATGTACCTTCCATGCAACACAATTACAAACACGCGTTCATTCCGTAAGTAGTATATATGTAAAAGTATATGATAGTGTAATATGTTTACATGTTACCAATTTTATCACAGTCTTAAAATATCATTAACAAATTCATAAAAGATTGCTTATTTTTTTGTAACTTCAATCAAGTTATCATAAAAAAGCAACTACGTAAGTTAATCAGTGCAATGCATTTTAACAAATACGGTCAATGAAAGAGTCAACTGTACCTAGCACCAACTACACCACTATTTACAAGAAATCTAAATTTATATACAACATGTACACATTTCAAACAAAAACCAATTTTCGCTATATAACCATATGAAACGATAAAAGCCATAAACAATCATGATTCGTAAAGTTTATGTTTGAAACATAACTAAAGATTTAATAAAAAAAATCAATTTGCAATTTGTTGTTTCTTTCATTATTAAATTGTTGTGAGATTACGTGTGTACTTGTGATAAATATCTAAACAGGAATATTTTTTGTCCAACAGTCACCTATATGAAAATTAGATTTCAACGTTAAATTATGAATAAAAATATATCATATATAAATAAATTGCCACCTTATATTCTGACGAGATGAGTGCCGAAATTTTGGACTAATGCAATGACACAAATTTATTACTTTTTCAATGACTGATTTTCGATTGCAAATTGCCAAATAACATTTCAATCTATGGAAATCACACGAGGCACATTGGAAGCGGCTTGTCGTTGAAATATACCAATACTTTTTCATCGGAGTTTTGAAAAAATAGCAAGACTACCACGTGACTTTATCTGGATCATGATTACCACCTTTGTTAGAGACAACAGATGGATTCCGCGAATTGTCGTTATTCTCAGAATCATTGTCTTTCTGTTTATCGTTTGGAGTATGAATGTTACTATTTCTAACAGGACTAGCTCTTTCACTGTCATTATCAGCATTGTTTTTATTTGTATCCTTATTAATCGGAGATTTTAGTGTCTGTCTACTAGGTGGAGATTTTGATGAATTGACCTTTCCATGTGGAGCAAGCCCACTAGGCCCTGCGTCTTTTCTGGCACGAATTTCCCAAATTTTGTACATGAGTTTTGACTTCCACATCAACCATCTGCAAGTGAGTAAATAAATAATAGTAACAACTACTTCTAAAACTAATAATAAAATGCACACAACCTATTTGAAAAACATAACTGAAGATGACGATCAGAATTTTCAATATATCCCTAATTTTGAAAATTATTCGACCGGAATTTATATATCAGATCATGAAATACTTAAACTATGTCTTTTTCTTCTAAGAAGTGTAAACGTGCTAATCTAACAGATGGACACCGAATAATTTGATAATCAGGGTTTCTTACTATTTTTTTGTAATTTAACGTATATACATTTTAGATTTTTCGCTGCGGTTTTATGATAATTTTAATTTCAAATTTGATAACAATGATTATAAATTTCGGTCTAGAAAACATAGTTCCTGTCGAATAAAATATTTTAAGATATTTTAAATGAACTGAATCTGTAACAACTTTTAAATCAACTGAATAAGTAACTACAATTTTAAGTATTTATCAAATTAAACCTCAATTTCAATAATTGTTTCAGTCCTAAAGCATAATATCAATTTTATGTAAACTGAAAACGCACACAATCAAAGTTTCGATGAGTTCAGAAATTTATAATTTCTTACAAAAACAAATAAGATATCAAATAAATAGTCAATACTAATCTAAAATACAATTTACTAATAACATATCCTGAAACAAAATAGAGCTATATAACTTTGCTAGAAACGAAATATATCTAGAAAAACAAATGCAAAAGGAAAATATAATTCATTTATTTCTTAAAACTCACAGGTTATTTTCTTAACTTATCTATCTCAGAATATATTTTAAAGAATATCTGAATATGAAACATTGTCCTTCCTATTTGAAAATTAAACGTTTCAAAATACTACCAGTATGTAATTAAAACACAGAAAACTGCTTTATATATACAAAAAACGTTTTTCATAAACCTTGATAAAATCATTAAATTCCATTTTTGAGCTTCTGTCACATCCTAACTCGTGAACAAAAGATAAATTTCAAATGTAAAGACAAAACTTACATATTAACATTTGTGCTTAAAGTATCGATGAAATAAATGTATATATCTTAACATTTGATTAGACTTTTGAAAATATTAATATAACTTTTGAGAAAAGTAAATCCGCGGCGTATGACGTGCATAAAAAGCCAACATAAATCCCTGAAAAAGAAAACTTAACATAAATTTTATCAAAATAATAATAAATGCAAGAAAATATACATTTGTAAATAAAAACACAGTAAATCAGATAATATAAAAAAGGAAATAATTAATCAGAGATGTAAAATGAAATAATAATAGAGACCATTTAGAATAAATAAAATATAAAGAATAAGACTATCTAGTGAACGTTTATCACGATGGTGTACATATGGCAGCGTGCAAGTCAAACTTATGGACAAGACAACATTCAAAGCGTAAAGCAAACACAACACCAACTTTGTGTAGCAACAAGCAATTTCAAACTGTATATTTATATTATATAATAATAAGTTACATAGTTTTAGTGTGTTTTGTAGAAAGCAGTGCTGTCCATCACCAAAATGCACACACAAATTTTTTTTTGCAAATATGATTTTCGAGACAATTAATATGTGTGATTTTATATGAACAGTGCTGCATTTCACCAAAATACACTTACTTAAAATGCAATGGAAAGATGTTCCCATATGTGGTGGGATGCTTTAACTGTCAACACTGACTGCTAAATGATCAGGAGGTGGATGATCTTTTTCTGGATATCTGTCAGTTAAAATATAATCCCACATGTAGTTGTATACATTGCTTGGAAAATCAAGCCCTAACGTTGCAAAGACTGTGTTTGGATAATACACGATCTCCCCATGTGCTTTATATAATGACTTGGAGCAATATTAGAGCTTTGTGAATGAGTATTTAAAAGCTTTTTTATACAACTGGTTAGTTTTCGCAGAAATTAAATAAAGCTATAAAGCAAGTGTGTTTTGACCCAACAACAAGAAAATTGCATATATTGGTTCGTAACAAATTAAGACAATACAAAAAAGAACTTCATAGTCAAAAGGACTTTTTTCAGAACAGTATGTTGTTTTCAAAGATACCTTTGACAGTATATATACGTGCATCTAATGAGACACTTGAGCCGTGCCATGACAAAACCAACATAGTGGGTTTGCGACCAGCATGGATCCAGACCAGCCTGCGCATCCGCGCAGTCTGATCAGGATCCATGCTGTTAGCTTCCCATCTCTATAACAAGTGGGTAAACTGATAGCGAACAGCATGGATCCTAATCAGACTGCGCGGATGCGCAGGCTGGTCTGGATCCATGCTGGTCGCAAACCCACTATGTTGGTTTTTGTCGTGACGCGGCTCAATTATTTTGTACATCACAACATTAAAAGCCAACTAGTTACAAGTTACATACGATGGGGACAATATCATTTTTACAACATTAAAACCACGCAAACAAAAAACCGACACATATCGACCTCGAAATAAAAATAATCGTTAAACTAAAGACGAAATCTGCAACAGAAATTGCAAAATAAATGGCCAAATCAAATGTTATATTTCTACCTTTGTTACTGCCATTCGGATCGCTGTTTTGTACATAAATTGGAAAGCATGAACACTTGACTGACGCCAATGACTAAATTAATTATCAAATTATTATTAGAAAATGTTTAAGCTTATCAGCATCGCCACATTTCATATAAGATTCATATGACATTATCATTATAATTATCATTATTAATATTATCATCATTCATTATTATTACACTTATATTTAGTATAAGTATCTATAAAAACAGTCAAATTTTCTTCAAGTGATATTAAAAATTTAAAATGAAATATATCTTAAGAACAAAGGAACAATGCCACTGGACCTAACAGTTGGATCAACGGCTAAACGACATTACAAAATACGCATTATAAAAAAACCAGCACCTTATACACAACCCTTCTTTGTACGATCATATATCACAAGTTCGATCAATTTCAAGATAGTCATCAAAGATTTACATATAGCAGAATCTTTAATGTCAAAGAGACTAAATCTTATGGGCTAAAATACAAGCATGATTCACAAAATTTAATCAGGTTTAATCTGGAGAAAAAGAGATTGATACATTAACTTGAACTCTGAACTTTCCGGGAGTATGGATAAAGTTTTTAAATGATGCTCTCTTGTAACTGGCTTTCATTTTCTTTTGACACATTGGCATGTCCTCGAGGTCAGGAGAGACTGACACTAAAGTAACTCTGGACTACCAAATATTATATAATCATCACTTTCTACTCAATTAAAAGAATAAAGTAGACATAATAAATCATTGTTGTCTGTATGTGTTTAGATGTAAACAGCAAAAACAATTATGAAAACTGTAACACCAGTCTTCATTTATCATATCAAACGATGCAAGTAATAATTAACACGAGCATGATAAATCATTTTACTTATTGTTCGGACATAATCTCCTTTAAAGAATTTAACTTGAATGCAGTCTTAAGATAAACAACTAAAAACGTGAATTCAAATTTGTAAATTTTGCCAATTACCGTCCATGCACAATTTCAAGGACAACATTTATGAATGAATCATTTATCAAAGAAAGGGTGAGTGTTTCTATTTTCGTTAATTTTAAAATGTCTGCTGTTTGTACAACATAAATGGAACTGGGAAACAAAAAATATTTTTTTCTGTATATATGAACAATTGGAAAGACAATGTTATATACAGCAAGAAAACGATCATCTCGTCACAAATTGAATTATTCACTCAACAACCCAATTATAAGCGAGAAAACCTTTCAAGACCAAATCCAATACTGAAATTCTTGTGAAAGTAAAGAGAAAATCTTGCAAAGATCTACATAGGAATAAAGGTAATTCATGTTATGTGCGATTCGTGACCGATTTGCGGTACTTTTACCATATATGTACTGCGTTACTAATGCAGTAAGGGCTATTTTTTGCATATTTTGACCACTTTTTGATAATTAACATCGGTTGTAAGTGCTGCTTGCAATAAGAAAATTATTTTCTTTGTACTCTTCACATAGTTTACTTTTTAATACAATTTTAAATTTTTCATGAAAATGAGCATGAATCTAGAGGCATGCAGCTTTATTGGGATTGAAAATCCAATACTGAAATTCTTGTGAAGATTAATAGAAAATCGCGCAAAGATCAACATAAAAATAAAAGTAATTCTGTGAATCTTTCATGCCAAAATTATCGCAGACCAGTGAGTGTGAGCAGAGGTGGAAGCAAGAGTTACGACTTGTGAATACGTCGAGGAGGACTACAATATCTGTGAACAGTCGTATACTTCAAACACTCTTTTAAAGTACTTATGAAAGAAAAATACATCATCCAACGACAGAAATCAACAATATATGAAATTATATTTTTCAAAGACTGTGTAAACATTTTCCTTTTCAACACGTTACATTTTCAGCGTGACTTATAATACATGTGGCATATACATATTTTTGTGAAGTTTTGGTTATACATTGTGTGTGTCGCAGAGTACTTACTTGTATGCATTATATACTCCCCAGTTGTTTACATCCGGGGAATTACCATGCCTGTCACCATCTTTCACAAACATTGGATGTGAGCGTCCTACAAGTGGCTCCATAGCCCGTTTCATTTCGTCAAGTTGACGTTGAAGACTTTCAACTTCATCAGAACGCTGCATGTGAAGAGATTAGAGGAGACGGGTATGTGAATATAAGGGATGTGGTTACATGTAATTATATCACTGCTACATGTGTAAACAAACTTCACTATGAACACAATGATGGCTTAAATATCTTGGTTACAAAACTGGAACGTGTTATAACTACGTATATTGATGAATCTAGCTGAAAGTCTCACTGTATGAGTATTAGCAGAAAACAAGAACTCGGAACTGATGATATGTCCTGATATTCGTTTTAATTTATTCGCATGGAATATATCTGTATCAGTATAATACAACACACAAAATGTGCATTTTAATGATGCTGTAATACCAATTGTGTCTCATGACCACTGCAAAAATAATTAGTCTGAAATGTTTGCTTTGTTTTCGCCGTTTTAAAATGAGTTTCTTCCTAAAAAATATCAGAAATACCGTACATCTTCAGTTCAGATTTCTTTCCACAAAGTTAAAGAAAAACAGTCAAATCTAGCTACATATCATCTACAAAAACCATTATCAATCATGCTAGTCTGGTTAAATATTCAACGTAAACGATGAATTGGTTAAACAAGGTATCAGGTTAGCTGAAAAGTGAAAACAAAGCACCAATGTATTCTAGGAGTGAATATACATCACTAATTGTAACATGATAAAATATTCCTGAAAAACAAAATGGTGAAAAATGATGGTAAATCTGGTAAATCTGGTTATATAGGGAAAATAAGAAAGGAAACAAATAAACATGATTAGCAACCATTTTAGCCTATTAGTTTCAACCAAATCCTTTCAAATATCTTACCGCAAGGTCAATTTCTGCATACTTAAACATCATCTAGGCCAGAATCTTGGGCTCTCTGAGTCTGACCACCACCTGTGTTATTTGGGCTTTGGTTACCAGGGGAGCGATTGCCAGGGGTTTTATTCCCCGGCGACTGATTTCTAGGAGTCTGATTCCCTGGGGTCTGATTTCCAGGTGTTTTAGCCCCACCCTTTTGTGATTGAGATGTTTTCCTACCCCCAGTTCTCCCTGTTTCAGGGGTTTTGCCCTCATTTCTAGGAGTAGTTCTCCAATTATCAGGGGTTTCATTCCCTGGACTTCTCCTTTCTTGATAATCTCCATGTGTAGGAGATTTCGTCTCATCATAATCAGCTCCCTTTGGGGTAGGGGACTGCATGTTCATGGTTTTTAAACCTTGAGATTCAAAAGGGCTATCTTCCCTTTGCTCTTCAAGAATGGGTTCATGATGAGGTTTTACAGGATCAGACATTTGTTGCCGTGATCTGTCATTAGTCATGGAGGTAGAAGGGGTCATTGTGTTAGTCCCAAGGGTACCCAAATCATCCCAACCCAACCCTGTATCAAGGTCATCCATTTGACTTCTATGTGTTGATTGCAATTTAAGGTTTGATCCAGTTAGAATCTTAAGTTGGTTAATTTGTGATTGAAGATCCTCTAGCCCTGATAATCGCTGAAAAATGAAATAAACAATAAATGTTAGTGTTAGATATCTGTAATAAATATAAAACAAAACATGTTTTGTTTGCTTGTTGTTGTTTTTTTGCTTTAAAAAAAAACCCAATCTGAATGGCTTAAACACTGTTCAAAAATAACACTTTCTATCAAATAACTGGACCTGGGGATAGATACATCTCATCTTTATTGTGCACTCCATTATTGTGATATTTGAAATTTAACAAATTCCACAATGCTCTTAGTGTTAGTTTACTAATAAACTACTATGTTCTATAGATCAACAATTTGATGCAAATACTTTTAGTAAAAGAAATTATTCATTGTTTTACACATTGATCATTTTCATATCACAACAGACAGAATTTCCAACTGCACTTTTGTTTTAGGCACACATAAAAAACATGGTTACCGTAATGAAAAATGTGTCCATTATGGTTAGGGTTGTGTTGGAAACAAAACCTTGGGTATTAACCCAAATGAATTTACCTATGCAACCAGTGTATATCAAAATCAACTAGCACACCTGTGCCATCTTAGTCAGGCTGCACTGTTTGTTATTCAGTTTGTACATTGGTACAACAAACATTTGTACATATGTTGAAAATGCCCCCTTAAAACGCTAAATATCTTAGTCCAGAGAGAAAAATGGACAAGTCCATTTAAGATATTTAGCATTGTAATAAGGTTTGAAAAAAAAGTTTATGTCTATAAATCATTTCACTAATTTTATGGTTGAAACTTTAATGGTGTATTTGTCACTTAATAACATAACATTGTCACAGTTAAAATCACAAAACATGAGAGAGGCTGTACTATAGCTAAAAGCATCTATCAAAACATGCTAAAAAGTCACAACAAAAAATAAGAGTTTTATGAGGGTTTTACAACAGTAAATATCAGATGAAAGCACTCAAATGTAGTTTTTTCTACATAAGAAAATACAAAAAAATACTAAACATGTATGCAAAAAAAACAAATACTTAATTAACACCTGTTGAATGAAGAGATAATGTCATTTGCTTTGTCATTATTGTGTCACACTTTAGCCTTTTGTGACAATAAAAAAATAATCATATATCCAAATATGTAAGTTTTTTTTCCCCAAACTAAATACAGAAAAAAAAGCTGGACTGACAAGTGAAGAAGTTAACAGAAAAATGACACTACAACTTGTCATTGCCACTAAAATCATACTACAAATAGTTTGTTCCTCTAATTACGTATGGAAAAAAACACAATATGACACTAATCAGTTTCTTAACAAGAATTCTTTACATTTTTAAAGAAACCAGACTGTATATAAGTATCAAAATCTCATTCTGTTGCATTACCAAGAATTCAATTATTTAAAATAAGCCATATTTCCTTTAGTATTTAAGTGAAAAACAAACAAGAATAGCTCAAATTTTTCAAAATAATCACATATTCTGTCACCTTTCAAAGATTATTCAAATATTATTCAATAACCATTCAAATAATCCAACTTTAACAGTAATTTCTCATGTTTTACACTGTGGTAATACTTAAGACCATATTGAACACACTAAAGCCACTGGAGCTTAGTTTTGACTGCTTGCTCGGGTAATGAGTAGTTACCAGGTTTGACAGTAGTAACAAGACCAGCTTGCACATTCTTGAAATATATCAATGCTCTTTTAAATGTTTGCAGCCCAAATTTAGCATTTTGATAATGAAACCGGTACCATTTTAAATAATGAATCACATTACCAGGGAAAGCCTGATATACAAAATTGTGTAATATGGTTTTGTTTAGAGCCTAGATGAAGCCAGGTGTTGTATATACATACCAGTTTTTGTTCAGACTGTATCTTCATACCAAGTACTGTTTTCACTGTTTGAAGGTTGTCAGCCAGCTTTCTCACATTCACATTCATCTGATATAAAAATATGAAATATGTGAATGTCAATTTGAACAGTACTTTGCTATAATTATTGTGAAATAGTTTCCTTTGACTTACATAAATAATAATATATACGTGTTACATAATTATAATGAGTATAAACATACAACTTGTCAAATAAGTAATGTCTTTATAATTTTTCATGAAATACATTTCATGACAATATTTTGATAACTGCATGTTTGATTACAGACAAAATGATAAATGGTGAATAATATAACTTTTTACCACAAATCTGCTGTTGTTGGTTTTGTTTTCACGATGATATAATGTTTTAAAAAGAATAATTATCTATAAAAAACACCAACATTTGTTTGGTTTTCTTCTGTAATATTAAAAAAATGTAAATATACATTGCTTCAGCAGACATTGAAGAGTTTTTATTTGTAGTTTAAAATGTATGAGCTTTGATAACTGACCTTATCATTTAAAATAAGAATAAATTAAAAAGGAAACAACATCCTATCAGTACCATGAATTGAAGGTACTCATTTTCTAAACATGCAAGTAAAAAAGAAATTCAAACAATTAAGAGTTAAAAAACTGAGAAAAACACTTATCTACATTTACAAACTATGTCATATCAAGTTAAAAGAACAAAACAAAAAATCCAACAAGGAAAACATATAAGATGTTCTACAAGGCAGAAATATGTTGTATTATGAAACAATGTTTTGCAGCTTCAAATTTAGCCAAAAATCAAAGTATCTGTAGAAATAATCATGATGGCATCCACAACTTAAACCTACACTAGCTTATAATAGTGTGTCACTCAAAAAATATTTCTTTTGCAGCCATTAATGTTCCAATATCCACATGGAAATATTTAGAAAGCTCAGATTTTTCATTTTAATTGCTAAAAATATTAAATTTTCCTCAGCAATTATTTTTTTGTATAATTGTATGCACTATAATGATCAAATATCGTATTTTCCAAATTTCGTTTATTTGTTTGGTTTTACAGTGCACCAAAACAATATGGCCAAAACAGAAAAGATGATAAGCTGGGTTGTTACAAACTTAAAGCAACACCTGGGATCAAATCCACCTGACCTAGTGGAGCTAAAGAGATACATAGACTCTAATAATTTGAACCCATTTAGTAAAATCTTAATTATGATCACAAAGGGATAAACAATTGCTGCAATTCTGATGCCTCAATCCTTGAAGGCTACCGCTCAACCACAAAGGGGCAAAAAAGATTAATAAAAATGCTTTGCATATAAATTTATACAGTAAAGTTGATAATGTTTATAATTGTGGAATGTGCAATGAAATTATTAGATATGATTTTTAAATACAAGATGCCTGAAAAAAAAATTGTTGGTGAGACTATTTAGTAAACATACTAGTATTTTATTGTGATATTTACACTGATTACAGACTGTCAACTATATGCATGGATAATAATCTATTTAATAATAATAATATATTCAAGGGTATAAAGCTATATGATATGTAATGAAATATTTTTATAAAATTTATAAACAGTAAAATTATGTTGTTTCAAAAATCTTAGATTGATTCTCGGAAATGTTTTAGCATTACACCTCCATGATTTAATAGACATGGATGTTGTACATCAACAGATAAATACTTTTACCAAATAAAATATCATGCTGCTAAGTATGTATTTCAAAACCTTTCAGTTACACAGTGTTTTAAAATTCATGTAAAAAGTCATATTAATTTTGTAATTTTTAAAGTTAGTATTGAGAAAAAAAGAATCAAATTAATATCTAAATTTCATTCAAACATAACTTCAGATTAGAAAAAAAAACAGTTAACTTTGGTTGACAGTCTGTATCTATTTTCAATGTTTTCGTGCATGATTGAATCAAAAAGTATAATATCACTTGTGCTGTAATGTCCAAACCTCTGTCATTTCTACATCTGTCCCTATTTCAACCTAGTAAATATACCATTATTCACTATATCAAACACTTGCCATTCTTTTTAACATTATTAAAAGAAAAACAAAAATCTGGATTAAGTGTGATCCCTCGGAAGCATTAATCACAACAAAATAACATGAAAATTGCAGACTGGGTATGATTGAGTCAGTGTACATGAGGGAAAATGACTCAATGATGTGATGAATTCAAGCACTAGTATAAAGAAATAATACCAACAAACAAACTTACAAACATAACATAGAACAATTTGAAAGACATGCATGATGAAAAAGGAACACAAAAACATGTACAAAATGAAGAATCAGAATGAAGTAATTCTCTTTTTTTTTTAGTTGTAACTTTGTTCATAATTTAAAAAATATAAATAAAAAAGAGACTACCATAAACAAAATATAACAAATTTATGACCATTTCATAGTCATAATTCACAGACACATCACTCAACAAAAAAAGGCATTTAGACATCAACGATATCAACAAAAAATAAAAGAATGGGGAGCAATTCTAGAAGGTAGGTCACACTTGATTGGTTTTTATGTCAAACCTTTGGATCTTCCTGGAAGCGATTTCTCTACCAGGTATAAAGCAGACATTTACATGAAAATATGTAGACAAATGAAATCTCTATTTAAATTTGATTTGTGTAATATATCATAATTAGAAAAACAAATTCTATTTTAAATACCAATATATATAAAACAGACCTTCAGAGGAAAACTAGCAATCAAAATAACTAAACACCTTAATTAGTGTATAATACAGAGGCATACTGTTAGTCTTAATTTGTTTTGATCTAAATTGGGTTTTACGTCACACCAACACAGCATATTAAGTCATATGGCGAAGTTGCACCTTTTACTGGTTGAGGAAGACATCATGTGCCCTTCCCTGCATTATTTCCATCATGTACAGGCACCCGAGTAGAGCCACCAACGTTATGTAAGCTAGCTGGATAGCTTCCTCACATGAAAGAACCCAAAGTTCCTGTCAGGATTTGAACCCACAGCGGTAAGGGGCAAGTGGTCTGAAGTCAATGACCTTAACCACTTGGCCATGGACGCCCCTGTTAGTCTTAAATTCTGCATGGCAAAACTATCCTAATCTTTAACATATTAGAATTTTAAATATATCAAAGTATTTTTCTATTTAAACTTTGTAAAAGGAAAACACTAAATGTTTCACACATAATCTACTCCACAAATAGATTATAAAATGCATTCTAAGGCTTTAATAAAACATAATTATATAATAATGAACAAATCTTGAAGCTTATGTGCATTTCCTGGAACTAACCAGTACTGTGGTACCATTATAATGAGAAAACTTAATTATGACCCTACAAAGTTCCAAATTTTCAATGCTGATCATGATCCTTATGTTGAGACGCAAACACTGTAACCATTATGTCATCACTCCCTTTACATCTTAACAAATGTTTTTAAAGATTAATAGATGTACTATTTTTTTTTAACAATTAGTTTAGACCAATTAAAACTTGAACAATTAGTTTAACATATCAGATTAATATAATTTTGAACAATTATTATAACCTATTTTAGAGCAATTAAAACTTGTATCAAAGTACTTACAGCTTCTAACTCCTGTAATGAAGCAGGTTTAGGCTGTCTGTCCATTTTATTCTTCATAGTTTGTATTTCTTGTCTAAGTGCTTCCACTTCCCGTGCCCTGAAAGAATACACAATATAAAAACTGAATCTTTCACTATATATAAGTTCTAGAAATAATAAATCTACATTAAATGATAAATAATTTCAATGCTGATTTGCACACAGAAAGCTTGTTTTTGGAAACAAGACAACTACCATATGTCATTTAACAATATGCAGAATTCATTAACACTTTAGATATGTCCATGGAAAAATTGAATTGATCTGAGCCTATTTCTATAAAGAAGTTTTATTAAGATTTATATTGCTTAAAAACTTCATTTTATTTTTTAATTTCCTGAATATGAGGTTGAGTTAAGACACAATACCTGGTGTCTGATTCATGACTGACTCTTGAATCAGTCTCAGATTTCATCAGTTTAAACTTTTCTTCCAACTGGTAAATCTGAAAGAATAAATAAATTCATGAAATCAGTGTTATTTTTTTGTGTGTTTTTGGTTGGGTTTGGGTTTTTAACATGGCACCAACACTGTATAGGTCATATGGGGACTTTCAAGCTTTTCTGGTGGAGGAAGACCTCAGATGCCCTTCCATGCATTATTTCAGGCACAAATTGGCACAAGAGTAGAACCATCAACATTCAGTAAGCTAACTCAGGATAGCTTCCTCACATGAGAGAATCCAAAATCCTTGTTGGTAATTGCAAACCCACAGTGGTGAGAGGCAAGTGGTTTGAAGTCAACGACCATAACCATTTGGCAAGGGACATCCATTCAAAACATTGTAAATATCAATAAAAGCTCACAGCAATTTACAGTATGGGTTAACTGTTAAAAAATCACACTATAAGGCAAAAAACGAATATGTGAGTTTGGAATTCTTAAGAAAGTCTTAAACATGGCCCTCTGATACAGTAAATTTAAGAATTGTACAGCTTATAATGAGTTTTTTTTATCAAAAATAAATAATTGTTTTACTTAAAGTAAGTCAACACATTTGTATATAAAATATGAACATACATCTTGTGGCATGGTCTGCACACTGCGTCCCAGTTCTCTTAAGGTGTCTCCCGTTGCATCCTGCCATTTTGATATGGCATCCATTCTGTCCGCCATCCTTTCTGACAGTGTTTGAGATGCCTGATCATGGAAAGATTATATAAATATTTGCCATACTCTGGCAAGTATAACTTCAGTATTTCTCAAATAACATGTATGAAATATCAATGCATAATCTTGCAGTAATTTTATATTAACTTACTGAAGTTCAATAATTAGAAACTGGAATATATAGACTTTTGTTTGGCATTACACTATAAAGAATAATCTATTGAAAAATAATTCATATCAATAATATATCATCTTTAGTATGATCCAAGCCTGAAAGACCTCCCCATGCAACAGCTACACTTGTTACCTTAACAATTTTGAAATGAACAAATCTACCATATATGGTAAAATATACTTTATAATCAAAGATTTTGATCAAGTGAAATTTCAAATACAGCTGAACTGATTGGAAAAAAAATACTTTAAAATGAAAAATAAATTCTATCCAGAAAGGTCTTTGTTAATGTGTTAAATTACTATAAATACAAGATAAAGTCATCTCTGTGCAACTGTGATCTTATAGCATAATATTCAGTGAACATTGCCCTGTGATATATTTGTTTTATTCCTGAAAAAAGCATTGATTATCTAGTGTGCAAAACTATATGCCCACTCCCTTTGCTGTGAATTCAGGCATTTCAAGTGTATGTCGTTTAAGGAAATTAGCCATCTTACAGAAGCAGTTAACAAGAGCTGTCCGTAAGACAGCGCGCTCGACTTTTTTATTGCTTGCCAATAAAAAAAGTTTTTGCAGTAAAAGGCAATACAAGAATCTCTGTATTTTTAAAGTGAACAATGGCCATGAGCATTAAGATATTTAGTGAAGAATTATTTTACTGAATTGTGTAACTTGTCCACCAATCAAATAGGCGAGATAAAATGTGAAATATGCATATACTACTGATTTTAATTTCAAGTACAAAAAGAGAAAAATAACTAGTTGTTTGATACCCTTGAATATTACAGCAATGTTTATATGACATAATTTATGGTAAAGTGAACAAGTGGATAGGAATGAATTTTTTTAGATTTTTTAAGTTTTTTAGTGCTTGCCTATAATACAAAACATTGACAGTTAAGGGCCATAATTCAAATAAAATCTTTGACAGAATTACCTTCTCCTGGACATGTTTGGGAATCATGATTGTAAACAAGTATTCCAACTTTCAAATTAATATCTCAAACAGTTCAGTCAAAAAGTGGACTGGTACTAAAAACTTAACCAAGATTCTAAGTCGATAAAAGGCCTTAATTTTTTAAAACAAATCCTTGACAGAGTTACCTTCTCTTGCGTACAGATGGGGGTAATGATGTGAAATAGCATTAAAAGTTTCAAAGCAATATCTCAAAGGGTTAAGGCAATAAGTGGATTTTACCCATATTCAATGTATTTTCTAAGTCAAAAAGGGGCATAATTCTGTCAAAAAACCTTGACAGAGTTATGTCCTCTTGTCTGTTGATGAAGGTCGTGATGGTAAACAAGTATGGTCAGTTTCAAAGCAATACCTCCAATGGTTTTGAAAATAAAGTGAGGTGGTACAAAAAACTTAACCAAGCTCAATACACTTTCTAAGTCAAAAAAGGGCCATAATTCTGTCAAAAACCTTGACAGAGTTATGTACTCTTGTCTGTAGATGGAGGTTATGATGGTGAACAAGTATGGTAAGTTTCAAAGCCATACTTGTAATACTTCTGAAATAAAGTGGGGTGGTACGAAAAACTTAACCAAGGTGTGACGCCAACGCTAACGCCGACGCCGACGCCGGGGCGAGTAGGATAGCTCCCCTTTTCATAGAAAAGTCGAGCTAAAAATGCCTTCACAAATGTGGCTGTTTCTTAATATGCTTATTGAATATTAAAAGTATTACATGGCCCATTATATATTGCAGCTGTAGCATATGCCATAGCTAATTTAAGTCATTTATAACTGACCTGATTTCTGCTATCATATAAAAGTGAAGTCAAACTTATTTAACTTTCTTATCTTTAAGTCTATAATACACAATAATGTATTTATTTATGAATTTGAATTCAGATACTGATATAGAATATATAATGTCTTTTTTGAATGACACTTTGAATGACAATTGTAACAAATGAAAGTACATCCCTAACATGATGAATTTAATAATTTTCATGGATTAATGAAAATATATCAGGAAAAACATTATCAAGTAAAAGAACAAATGCCATAAGGAAAACTCTCTCATTTATAGGACATGGTATTCACATTAAAACATTCATTTCTTATCACATTAATTTCTAACTATAAAATTATAAAATTTGTGGAAGCAAATCTACATGTGCTAAAATATGCTCTGCAAAGTAAAAGACAATAAGAAGCGTAACTCATGCATGTACTAAAACAAACATTGCCTCCCCTGACCCAGTGCATGCTGGTACCTCTCTTAGACTCAATTCTGATCCCTAAAATATTCATACAATCAAAGTATATTTTAAACAACTACACAAATATATATGTCACAAAATAACAACACACATATGCTGCAACTGAAAACATAAAAAAGCTTTTTATAAAATATAAAATAAAATCTACGACAGGAGTTTAAAAAAACAGCGAAATTAATATGATTAGAAACACTGTACAATACAAGACTGCAACACCAATATATGACTGAAAACAACATAAGCAAAGCAACATGGCATGAGTTTCTGGAATTAGAGACGTTTAAGTGATTTGCAATTACAAATGTACATAATGTAAGTGTAATTTAATTGTGTAATTGCTGTGTTGCATGACTCAAAAGCCTTAATCTTACAAATGCATCAGATTCACTGTTAACTGTTAGGTATGTAAAATAGATCTTTAAAATTTTTGTGTTGCAATTTTGATTTAAATGCCTTAATCTTGATTACGCATCTGTTAAATGTTATGTGTCTCAAATAAGCCTTTGAATTCTACTGACCAGGGCCCCGACGTTATAAAGAAATTCTCGGAGCTCAAACTCATGGATCTCACGTATATGATTGGTTAGAAACTGTCACAGAACACAGACCAATCGAAATCAAAAGATTTGAGACGGAACTCAGACTGAAGTTTTATAACCTTGAGGCCTGAACTTATTTGATTTGCATATAAAGTAATAAATAGGTCTGTCCACATACAAGTATACTTACTTTTGGAATTAGATTATTCCTATTCCAATCAAATAATTAATCAATTCTTTTTCAATTGGATTCCCAAAGATATTGAATTATTTATCCTTATTCCTAAATAATAATAAAAAAATATACAACAGACAATATAATGATTGCCTTTCATGAAACATTTTGATATAATGACAATATAAATAGAAAACAAAGGTTGGAAAAACAACAATATTACACAGAATAGAATGAGAAAATCAATCAACAATAACAGACAGTTGACAAATACACCATAAAATAAACTTCTTATATCAAGAGAAGAAAACCCTTCTAATTTTTTCTCAACAGAAAATTTAACAAACTTGATAAATCAATCAAGTATGTCTTGTTGGATATCTTCTTATTCTGTTACATGAATTTTTTTTAAAAAGTGTAGACACAAGTATATATCATTCTTTGTTGCAGATTTTTCTCATTGATTTTTTCTGCACAGATAAAAATTTAAATATTTACGACTCAGGAAAATTGTAAATAAGAATTTAGCAGTCATATACATAAACTACACTTAAAGACATTGATAAAATTATTTTGATTTTTTATATGACCAAGATGTCAAATAATAATTTATTAATCATTCTATTCATTATATTAAAAAAACAAGAGCACCGCTAAGCGGAGCATTATATGCCCGAAAGTGATTTTTTTTTTATTAAAGATGAAGCATTTGTAAGAAATGGGAGTAAAATAAAGTATTACCTCCTTCAAATAACAATCCTCCTTTGAAGTTTCAATATTGTGGTCCAAATTGAACTTTAAGTTATGCCCCAGAAACTGTTTTCAATTCTAAGGTAAAAGTGACCTTGACCGTTGACCTTGTGACCCCAAAATCATTAGGGGTCTTCTACCAAATATGGACAATCATACTATGAAGTTTAAACACAGTAGGCCAAATGATACTTAAGTTATATTCCGAAAACTGTTTTCAGTTTTAAGGTGATAGTGACCTTGACCTTGTGACCCCAAAATCAATAGGGGTCTTCTACCCAATATGGACAATCATCCAATGAAGTTTGAATATTGTGGGCTAAATGGAACTTAAGTTATGCTCAAGAAACTGTTTTCAATTTCTAAGTAATAGTGACCTTGACCTTTGACCTTGTGACCCCAAAATCAATAGGGGTCTTCTACCCAATATGGACAATCATCCTATGAAGTTTGAACACTGTGGGCCAAATAGAACTTAAGTTATGCTCAAGAAACTGTTTTCAGTTCTAAGGTAATAGTGACCTTGACCTTTGACCTTGTGACCCCAAAATCAATAGGGGTCTTCTACCCAATATGGACAATCATCCTATGAAGTTTGATCACTGTGGGCCAAATGCAACTTAAGTTATGCTCCGGAAACTGTTTTTAGTTTTAAGGTCATAGTGACCTTGACCTTTGACCTTTAACCCCAAAATCAATAGGGGTCTTCTACCCAATATGGACAATCATCCTATGAAGTTTGAACACAGTAGGCCAAATGGAACTTAAGTTATGCTCCGGAAACTGTTTTCAGTTTTAAGGTCATAGTGACCTTGACCTTTGACCTTGTGACCCCAAAATCAATAGGGGTCTTCTACCCAATATGGACAATCATCCTATGAAGTTTGAACACTGTAGGCCAAATGGAACTTAAGTTATGCTCCGGAAACTGTTTTCAGTTTTAAGGTCATAGTGACCTTGACCTTTGACCTTATGACCCCAAAATCAATAGGGGTCTTCTACCCAATATGGACAATCATCCAATGAAGTTTGAATATTGTGGGCTAAATGGAACTTAAGTTATGCTCAAGAAACTGTTTTCAATTTCTAAGTAATAGTGACCTTGACCTTTGACCTTGTGACCCCAAAATCAATAGGGGTCTTCTACCCAATATGGACAATCATCCTATGAAGTTTGAACACTGTGGGCCAAATAGAACTTAAGTTATGCTCAAGAAACTGTTTTCAGTTCTAAGGTAATAGTGACCTTGACCTTTGACCTTGTGACCCCAAAATCAATAGGGGTCTTCTACCCAATATGGACAATCATCCTATGAAGTTTGAACACTGTGGGCCAAATGCAACTTAAGTTATGCTCCGGAAACTGTTTTTAGTTTTAAGGTCATAGTGACCTTGACCTTTGTGACCCCAAAATCAATAGGGGTCTTCTACCCAATATGGACAATCATCCTATGAAGTTTGAACACAGTGGGCCAAATGGAACTTAAGTTATGCTCCGGAAACTGTTTTCAGTTTTAAGGTCATAGTGACCTTGACCTTTGACCTTGTGACCCCAAAATCAATAGGGGTCTTCTACCCAATATGGACAATCATCCTATGAAGTTTGAACACTGTAGGCCAAATAGAACTTAAGTTATGCTCCGGAAACTGTTTTCAGTTTTAAGGTCATGGTGATCTTGACCTTTGACCTTATGACCCCAAAATCAATAGGGGTCTTCTACCCAATATGGACAATCATCCTATGAAGTTTGAATATTGTGGGCCAAATGAAACTTAAGTTATGCTCCGGAAACCAAATTGCTAACGGACGGACGGACGGACGGACAGACGGACGCCAGGGGGTATAACATAATATGTCCGAAATTCTTTCGGGCATATAAAAAAGGAACACACCTCATATTATCACTTAAATGAAGGTATGAAAATTGATAGATATATCAAATCATGATCTTGAGGCTTAAGTAAAGGAAAACTGTCACAAAATTAGAGTCAACAATGACATATACCGTGACATATCTGAAGAAATTTCTAGAAGCAACAACAACACACAAATTATACATAATACAGTGTGCTAACAAAATGTACCAAGTTAGTATTATTGTTGTCAGATCTGTTGGTTAAATGGCCTCCCATCAGAATCTGAAACTTCTGTAAATGTGCCAGATGAGTGAAATGAAAAACAACAGATACATGTATATATAATACAACAATAGCAACATACATTGTATTTTCAAAACAAATATATATACAGATATACACATCAAGTACAATTGATTCACAATATTAACGTTGTATTTTTACAACTATATGGTCAAACAAGGGACAAACCACTGCAAATCTTCACATTATTACATGCAATCTAATGACTTTAATTGACACTCGAACACACTTCACATTATTATCCAATTTAACAAACAGAGCAGCTGGGTGCCTCATTACACCATATCATTATGGGATACCCACTGCTGAATCATTAACATTTATCAGCCGTGGAAATTTTTGGCTGATATCCAATTGATTAGAGGTGTGTCAAAGGCAGCTATTTCAATGACTGCCTCAAGATTTCATGAGGCCAATAAAACCAATCTAAACACTGATAGTTTTACTGATAGTTTTTACCTTGCCTGTTGGAAGAATTTTGTTATTATATACACAATTTTATTGGTCCATTCTTTATGCTTCTCTGCTGTATATCGATGCAAATTGACTCACTTTACCCACGGCTTGATTACATGTTAATCAATTTGGGTATGTGATGATGATATGGTATATGCATTGAATAAAAGAATGCTCACAAATCATATGACATCAAATGTGACATCAAAAACCTAATGATGTCAGAGAGAGTACTGTATGGTTTATTGTCCAAATTTTTTGTAATTAATCATTTGGGCTTACACACCTTCATGATTATTATCTCTGCATATTTGAACTAAAACCAGACATTTTTCTACAAAAAGCACTCAAAAGCTGATTTCTGTTTTCTTAAGAAAACAAATGTATTTTCTTCTCATTACACAGTTTACCAATTTTTTTTCCTTTCAAATGAAATAAGCTTCTGCTGCAAGCAGTCTCAGTACTTTGAAAGTGGTCGCTTTATACTTTTGTAAGGGAACATAAAAACTAAAGTGTACATTATTATATGTAGTGCTCATTAAATATGGTAAGACTCCTGCACAGGCAAAAATAAAAACAATATTAAACTAATGGCAAAAACAGTCATATTACATGATTACATGTTAAAGTACGCCGGAAAATTATGACAATCCTGTTTTCAGTTAAGCCAAAATTTATAACCATGTGTGTGAAATTGGTAGTCAGTGGCGAAAATGGGGGACGACATTTATTACTTTGAGTATTCCTGGACTTTGTACCATTATTATCTTAATCAAATCTCAGTGATTTTCATTATCAGAGAGGAAAATTGTAGTTCTTTTTCCTATTGAAAGAAATTCAGGACTTTGAGAAAACTTCTTAGTCCTAAATTTTAATCTGTAAGAATACGATAACTGAAAATATTATTTTCTTAAAGATAAAAGTTGTACAATGCTCAAAGTATATGCATTTAAATACTATATAAGATTGCCTGTTGGTTATCATAAATGATAGTTTGTAAAATGTAATTTTACAGTCTAAACACTAAAAGAAATTTGTAACACATGACATGCATTATGACCTAAACTGAAAATAAATTGAGCCGCGTCACGACAAAACCAACATAGTGCCTTTGCGACCAGCATGGATCCAGACCAGCTTGCGCATCAGCGCAGTCTGATCAGGATCCATGCTGTTCACTTACCAACTCTATTACAAGTAGAGAAACTTATAGCGAACAGCATGGATGCTGATCAGACTGCGCAAACGCACTATGTTGGTTTTGTCATGACGCGGCTCAATTTAGTTTGACATGTTACAGACTATACCCTATCCTATATATTTCATTTCAACTTTTAAACAAATTAAACAGTTTTGTTTAGTAAATGCCTTTAATATGTGCATGATGCGAACTAAAACATGAAGTATTCTATGTAATATTCATGTTTTTATTATTAAATGTAACTTGTGCATGTTAAAAGTGCATAGTTTTTGTGTACAGCAACAATCATATAAATAGAGAGTACATGTGCTCTTACAACATTAAACTTACATTGTAAGTACGAGTTTTTAAACCAAAATTTACAACCAAAATATTATCTACCTTTAACATGTTATCATTACAATGTAAAACATAAGCAATCATTTCTTTACAATAGTTTAACAAAACATATCCAAAGTTATATCACTAGTAAACCATATATTTGTGATAGTAAACAAATAAACAAACTTACCGAGTTGACCTTGGCATCAAGCATATCTTCAAGGTTATTCAGCTTCTGTTTTATGGCATTCATTCTGGTGTCAAGGTCAGACAGTGCCCTTGTACTACCTTGTTGCTGCTCATTCAATATCTGCTTTACATCTCGCCGAATCTGTAAAAATTATGATAGTTTTACAGTATACATAATTAAGTTTTCAGTATAATATAATTACATGTTTTTTAAGGATATTGAATTGAGTGACAGTTAATGTATGAATTTATTGAACAGTTGAAAAAATTATAATTTGGTCGAGCTATGTTAAATTACTTTATGAAAGAGTTCAATAAATTGCTGCTAATAAACTTACACAAATTTAATATTTCTATTTATCATATACGCAAAATTAAATTTTTCCTTTTGAACTTAAAAGAGAACCATTTTCATTTCACGCTATAACTAGGTATCACGTTAAACAATTTTGATCTAGTTGCTTTAGACAGTGACCTCCAATTATGATCTCAAAGACATGTGTGAAGTTACAATCAAATGTCTCTAATGGTTGTACACAAAATTATGTGACCACAGTATTATTAAGCTGATGCCAATGTGGACACCTACATTATAAGACACTCAGGTGAGTAGGTAAGCCCAATTTTTTCCCCTCATAGTTGAGGTTCATAGAACTTGTATGATCTCTTTATCATTTGTTTCATTTAAATTCCCAATTTCCATGTACAAACCTTATCATTGGTGACATTAAGGTTCTGGGATACCCCACCAATAGCTTGCTGTAGTGTTGAAGTTGCTATTTGTAGTTTCTCATTCACACTTGCAATCTTCTCTGCTGTGGCACTCTCATGTATTTTCCTACAAAATCAAATGTCACTTAAAATCAATTCAAATTCTTTACATCATACAATTTGTATTAGAGCCGAAAGACTTTTCATGGGATAAATCTTATACCCAAAGAGGAGCACATTGTTAACTGGAGTGCAGTATAAGTTACCTGATATCTAGTTACTGTACTGTATGTAGTCATAAGAGTTAAACAATTAAAAGTTAAAATCAAAATGCATTTTAATTTCTAGTTTATTTAACAATTTTCATCAATAGTTTTCCAAATTCATTTCCATGCGGGATAAAATTATATATAGAATGAAAATTAAGTTTCTATAAGAAATATAAAGCTATTAACTTCTTTCTTACATTCAATTTGTCAATCAAGGTACAGTTTATGTGCACCCAGGACATTATAAAAAAGGAGATAAATTGAATTAATATTTACATGCTTTAACTTTTTTTCTTAAGTTAACATTTTATGAAGACATGGAATGTGTTTTGTTTTAAACTAAGAACTTTATTTGTTTTGAATCAATATTGTAATCCTAATAGAGCACAAAATTATAATAGCTGAAGAGAAACATAGTAAGACTACAGTGCAATGCAGCTTGGGCAGGAATTATACACTGTACCTTTGTTATAGCACCCCAATAATACTCAAAACCTGTAAAATATTACAGATTTTGCCTAAATGTACATGTATGATCATTTTTATACCACAATCTTACCTAGATTTGATTTCAGCAGTTAAGACTTTATCAACTTGTTTCTTGTTTTCTGTCAATTGTTTCTCCACAATGGTGATAGCTTGATCAAGTTTTGCTATTGTGTCTCTATTGCGGCTTTTCTCACCCTGAAATCAATTCTCAAATATTTTAGGATATTTGACCACTTCTAATTACTGTAACAGTAATAATTGCCTGTTAAACATTTTGGAAATGGAAAATGTAGTCTAAGTTATCAGAAGCTATGTCAGAACTCATATAATTTGTTTAGTTCAGTTTAAACATGTGTATTTATCTCAAATTTGATGTGAACTTAAAACTTATATTAAATCTCTGGAGTACATCAAATCCAAGTGTCATATAAGAAGACAATTGATATAAATCCAGTAGAGCTCAAACCCATAATTTCTGTGTTGAGCAACAGACACCTTAAGTACTAAACAAATACCAAAGAGCTAGATATTCCTGTTTGTTATGATAGCTGGTGTTTGATTCTTTTTCTTGCATATTACATAATAATAATATTTTGGAAAGAAATTACGAAAACTAATTTTTTCATTTAGCATTTTTTTCTTGTAATAGCGTATGAATTTACAACTTCATTACATCAAAATCATGTCATCCTAAGAACACAATCAATTCATAGAAGGCATGCCGGATTATGACAGGGGGTGTAAGACAAGTTTTACAACAGTAGATAATCCTGTCTGATATGCAAGAAAAGCATTGTATAATCATCAGCAAATAAAGAACTGAATACCAAAACCATCTTTCTCTACAATAACATGCCCAAGACTAATTTATTTAAATTATATCAATTACTTAATTGATATACTATAAACCAGCAAAGAGCAACTTAATAAATATACTATAGCAAGTTACCCCCATATTTTCTTTTATAGCATGAAGCTCTTCCTCTAGGACTTTCTTCAACATTGTCCACTTCCTGTCAGAATCCTCTCTAGCTGCTTTCTCATATTCTTGTCTAGAATGTTGCTCTCGTTGTACCAGCTGAAACAAATGTCACAATAACATAGGATAAATACAGTACGTTTATAATGAACTTAAAGGCACATTATACCCCTGAAGTCCATATTTTTTTCATTTTTAAGAAGTACAAAACAGTAGTCAGTATGATCAGTTGATAAACTATAGGCGACAGACTCCCATGTGTTTAATAATGTTTTAATAATAGATTAAGAGCATGTTAGAATTATTCAACAACTGAAAAAAGTAGTATTTTGAATTCCATACAAAATACTTACTAAGAAATAATATATCCCAAACAGTGATTTTATTGCTCAATTACATCACTGTTTGGAGTTCGGATGCGACAAATTATATCACGAGGGCGTAGCCCGAGTGATATAATGATGCGCATCCCATTAAACATTCATTTAAATCTCGAAAAAATTATTTTCAGTCTCGTCATGTAAAAAAATCTCAATGGAGTCTCTTTACAGATGTTGACTGTATAATCTTAATCATTAGAATTTGGGACATAATTCTGTCAAAATCCATGCTAGTGTTATGGACCTTAAATAGTGACTTTCCACTATAATCTCAAAGAAGTGTGACATTACAAGCATACATGTATATCTTTCATAGTTAAATGAAATATGATAATATACACGAAGTCACACTTTTCTTAAAATAGTCATAGTCAAGCTAAAAATCAAATGGATGAAAATTATGTAAAAATGTTTATGAAATGTACAAATGTTATATCCATCTAAATGATTCTTTTCATGTTTAATGCAGAATATGGTAAAGTTTACAAGTTTTATCACCATATTTCTACCCTGATACTAACAGAGTAAGGATACCTTCAGCATGTTTTGAGATGTTATAGATAACTTCTGGATAGTCAATGGCACGGGGTACATTAAATAATTTTATTTGCTCACTTGATATCATTTTCACCAATTAGAACAACTTCTTAATTGTCATTAAACTTGTCATGAATATGAAGGCTAAATATCAATTAATATTAAATTAATTTGTTTAACCAACCATGAAAAGAAAAACGTGTTGATAGTGATGCTTTGTTAATTAAATATATAAATAAGAAATGAATTTATAACATAAATTCTGCCTTTAGTATCACAAAGTCTAAACAAAGAATACTTCAAAGTTATCAATGGTCGTTTTACATAGTATGCATGCGCTGACACATGCTTAAAGGTGACAATGTGTTCCATAAATTTTTATTTATTGTTTTGAAATTTCATTTACTAAGTGATCTATCAATTCATCTTCCAATATTCCCTGAATTTTTTATTGTTAAAACATTTGTTCTAGCAAATTTGATTTAAGTGCTCAGGACAAACTGTGAATTGTTGTATACCACAATACACCATTTACAAATGCTTTATTGTTTTATTTGTTTATTTTTCTGTTTTTTTTTATGCTGACTAACATTTTTGGTTATATCTCGGTAGTCCATCCACTTATCCAACTTTCCTGGATAACTAACCAGTAATTACCAATTTCTCCACTAGTGAACAACATAAGAATCTTACACCGGCTGCCAGTACAGACCGGAATATCTAGCTCGAGGGTAACTGTTTACAGCGGTAACGAGGCTCTGCCGAGTTTCCGCTAAACAGTTACCCGAGAGCTAGATATTCCCGTCTGTACCGACAGCCGGTGTTTGATTCTTTTTCTTGCATATTACATGTCAATTATTTTCGGAACAGAAATTATGAAAACTGATATTCTCATTACGCACTTTTTTCTTATAGTAGCGTATGAACATACAATTTCATTCATAACGGAAAAATGACGTTATCTTAAGAACGCGATTCATTCATAAAAGGCGCGCATCGATGACGTCATTTAAAGCACGCGACTTGTCTTACATGGGGGGTGTAAGACAGAGTTTTCTAGAACCGGTGTAAACGGTAGATAATCCTGTCTGAGATGCAAGAATTACTAATCTCACATGATTTCTGAATCAGCCAGATGTGGGAGACCAATGTCTCACTAGTTTCAATGTCTGAAATCAATTGTCAGGGAGAACTTTGGTATTGTTTGAGGAATGAAACAGTAACCTCTGGATTATAAACCTGATGCTGACTCCTTATAAAACTCAGAATGCAGACTTAAACTTAACCTGTAACTGCATGTATTAAAATTACTAGATGACTTTCCACTCAAATATTTAGGAAAATGCCTGCATTAAAGTGTAGGTACATCTGGATAGCTTACTTACATAAAAGCATTCATTATAAGTTCTGGAACATGACAGTGAGAACAACAAAATTTGATGTCAGAAATTTTCACAATTGACTGAAAATAGGCCAGACATTTATGCGAGACAAGAGAATCATTGCAATCAATTTTGCCCTACAGAATGTTATAAGGACATTTACACAATCAAGATTAAACAAGAACCTTTTCAAGTTGTAAATATTTAGATTGTATGTCCTCCCGTATCTTCATTTCCTTGGCCTGGAGTCGTTTATTGACATCTTCCACTGTGTCGGTAACTTTAGCATTCAGCTGAAGTCTCTCGGCTTGTTGGGCATGTTCCTTCTCTCGTAGAACCATATCTACTGTATGCATGTTCTCTTCCCTCTTTCTAACCTGCTCACTCATTTGTGTGCCCAATTCACTTATTCTTAAAGAAAAATGAAACAAAAGCAACACTGAAGAGAAAGTAGTCTAAAAGCTAGGCATCCTGTCACAAAATGACTAAAACAAGCATTAATAGGAAACAAGAGGGCCATGATGGCCCTGAGGTCGCTCACCTGTATATAGGCCCCCGAAGCTGGCCAGTTTAAACCCCAGGGCTTTTATTTGAACAAACTTGGAATTAAGACACCCATTAGAAGATGTTTCATGATGTTAAGTTTTTGCTATACACATATAAGGAAAAACAATGACCTTCCCCCCCCCCCGGCAGAGTTAATTTTAACCCAAGGGCTTTTATTTGAACAATTGAACAAACTTGGTAGACACCCATAAGAAGATGTTTCATGCTAAACATCTAAGCTCTAGCTCATTGGGTTTTTTTTAAAAGAAGATTTTTTAAGTTTTTACTATACACATATAGTTAAAAACAATGACACCCCTGGGGCGGGGCCAGTTTTGACCCCAGGGCTTTTATTTGAACAAACTTTGTAGACACTTATTAGAAGATGTTTCATGCTTAATATCTAAACTCTAGCTATTTGGGTTTTTTCAAAGAAGATTTTTTAAGTTTTTGCCATACACATATAAGGAAATCAATGACCCCCCGGGGCGGGGCCAATTTTGACCCCAGGGCTTTAATTTGAACAAACTTTGTAGACACTCACTAGAAGATGTTTCATGCTTAATATCTAAACTCTAGCTATTTGAGATTTTTTCAAAGAAGGTTTTTGAAATTTTTGCTATACACATATAAGGAAAATCAATGACCCCCGGGGCGGGGCCAATTTTGACCTGAGGGCTTTTATTTGAACAAACTTAGTAGACACCCATTAGAACATGTTTCATGCTAAATATCTTAGCTCTAGCTCTTTGAGTTCTTTAAAAGAAGATTTTTAAGTTTTTACTATATGCATATAGGGAAAATCAATGACCCCCCTGGTGCCGGGCCAATTTTGACCCCAGGGCTTTTATTTGAACAAATTTGGTAGACACTCATTAGAACATGTTTCATGCTAAATATCTTAGCTCTAGCTCTTTGGGTTCTTTAAAAGAAGATTTTTTTAAGTTTTTACTATATGCATATAGGGAAAATCAATGACCCCCTGGGGCGGGGCCAATTTTGACCCCAGGGCTTTTATTTGAACAAACTTGGTAGACACTCATTAGAAGATGTTTCATGCCAAATATCTAAGCTCTAGCTCTTTGGGTTCTTTAAAAGAAGATATTTAAAGTTTTTTTCTTTCGGTTGCCATGGCAACCAGAGTTCTGCATGGAATTAAATTCTTTGAACAATTTTTAAAGGTGACCACCAAAGGAACATTCCTGTGAAGTTTGGATGAAATTGGCTTAGTGGTTTATGAGGAGATGTCATTTGAAGCAAAAGTTTACGGACGGACGGACGGACGGACGACGGACGAAAAGCGATCACAAAAGCTCACCCTGTCACTTTGTGACAGGTGAGCTAAAAACACTTAACATTATTATCAAATCTATCATTTTTATGGTTCAACACAACAATTAATGTTTTACTAAATAATCTAATTGAATCATTGAGTACTAAAAAACTATTTTGAACTTTATTATTGTTACAGTATTTGTTTCAGATATTAGCTCTTTGTGACTTAAATATAACCCTGGACCTGCTGGAACCAAATATAATTTGCATTTGCATATCCATACAGTCAGACTAGACTATATACTGTTGGCTGACAAACTCTTCCAATTTGATATCTCCTACAGTAATAATGAACAATTTCAAAAATGGAAGTCGGAAAAGTCCATTTAAGAAATTCAGCAGGTTATGGTTGAAAGCATATGTAGAGAATATTGAATGATTGTAGGTTAAGTACTGTATTTATTGAACAAATTGAATAAAATTATATTCTACAAGCCTCAGACTGGTGGCATTATAAGGTATGTGACAAAGATTCATACTTAGTTTGCATCATTTTCTCCAGGTTTCTCCTCTCAGCTTGTTCAGTTTCATGTTTACCTCGCAGATCCATCAACACATCTCTCAACTCAGATAACCTATATCATAAATATATAACTAAAATATGACTAACAGTTCATTTATTTTACATATTATACATGTTGTTTTATTTTTGTCCTTGCATGTATGTTCTGTTGGTGTTGTTTCTATTTCAGACAGCAACATTGGAAATAAGATATATATGATTGCTGTTGTATATTCTTAATGTGTTACATTCTCTAAATAAAGATATTATTATTCTATTATCATTATTATTATTATTATTATTATTATTATTATTATTATTATTAGTATAACCTCAGCCAAAATAAAAAAAAAATTAAATTAAAAATCAGCAGGATTCAAATTCATTGCAGTGCAGAGAGGGAATTCTTGCATCTCAGACAGGATTATCTACCGTTTACACCGGTGCTAGAAAACTCTGTCTTACACCCCCCATGTTAGACAAGTCGCGTGCTTTAAATGACGTCATTGACACGCGACTTTTATGAATGAATCGCGTTCTTAGGATGACGTCATTTTTCCTTTATGAATGAAGTTGTATGTTCATACGCTACTATAAGAAAAAAGTGCGTAATGAGAATAATTATGAGTTTTCATAATTTCTGTTCCGAAAATAATTGACATGTAATATGCAAGAAAAAGAATCAAACACCGGCAGTTGGTACAGACGGGAATATCTAGCTCTTGGGTAACTGTTTAGCGGAAACTCGGCAGAGCCTTGTTACAGCTGTAAACAGTTACCCTTGAGCTAGATATTCTGGTCTGTACCGGCAGCCGGTGTAAGATTCTTATAAGACTAAAAATCAGCTTTCTTCACCACTCACCTACACAGATGACAACATGATCATGAATAAGAAGATTATAAATTATTCTAACACGACCCGCATTTTTCCCTATTGAACATAGAAGAACCGAAAGTGTGTATTATTATGCAATAGTCACTGTTTGACGTTCTATATTTAGACGTGTGACGTAATCATTGTACATGTGACGTAACCACTATGAAATCCGACGCGCTGACAATAAGTACGGAAACAAATCAGGCGTAATTTTGCTTAATGGCAGGTACGGCAGCATTTATTTGTTTATGTCGTGTTAGAATCGAAATAATATATCCAAATCGGTGATTTTATCGGTGGATAACATCACTGTTTGTCGTTCGGATGCGCAACATTATATCACTCGGGCTACGCCCTTGTGATATAATTCCTCGCATCCGAACTCCAAACAGTGATGTTATTGAGCTATAAAATCACAGTTTGGGATATATTATTTCTTAAGTATTTTTGTTGTTTATCATTCTTATATAAAAAAGCATGCTTATTTACTGTCTCATTGTTAAGGAACTAGTATTAAAGCATTCTAACCTTGTTTCAACCTGTCCCCTGAGTTGTGTGGTTGTCACATCTGTCATGCTGTGTATCTCCGATTGTTTCCTCATGGAATTCAGCTGAAATATTCCAGTTACATGACATAATTATAAGGGATCATATCACATTGTGTTTAGGCAAACAAATAAATCAATTGTAAATCAAGACATGTTTTCAATTATTCAGTCCAACGTAAAAGGTAATATGTAGTCTTAAATAATAAAAGTTAACATGTATGTTTGTATGAGTTGACATATTACACATAGTAAATAAAGAAAGAAGTTAGTTTCTATGTTTAGAATAGTCATTCAATTCTACATACAGAAGTGAATTTCAAGAAAATATTTTTTGTAAAAATTCATTATTTTTTCACTTGCCTCTATATTTAGATATTATTTATTATTTAGTATTTGACATGTAATGGGCTGGAGATCTGAAATATTTTGTAAATACAGTTTCAAAGTTTCAAAGACTTGTCATCATCCACAATATTGTTCTGTCTGTAAAATATTAATGATTAAGCTTGCAACAAAAGGCCAAATCCATTCACATGCCAACCAACAGTACCATGTCCTTATAAGTTTAATACAATTATAAACATACATTTTTTAGTGGTAGTGAGCTGGCTGTAGCAAACAAGAAGCAAATAAAGTATTTACAAACATCCCTAAAGTTTATCATTATTATTAATTATTTTGGTTGGTCTATGAATATTATAATGGTTTTGATCATCCAATGAAATCCTTGGTGAAAAGTTTCAACAAATTTCGTGAAGGGCAAATATAAGCCCACTGAAACAACAAGAGATATAATTGTTAAAGATAGGTTTCTCACCTAAGAAACAATCCCATAGAAATGGAATAGATGTGGCTTTAATACAGTCCATTTTACTGTGCTAGAAGGCTCCTATTAACTTTAATGACCTCAATGAATGACTAAATGTTTGTCACAGTGGCATGGCCAAATGGCTAACATGTCAGACAAGTAGTCTTAGGATTGCTAACGGGATGAGTTCAATTTACCCTACCAAGGGCAAGCCACTGTTTCCTTCAGCAAGAAACTTTAGACTCATTACTCATTTAATTTAAAGTGCTCAGTACCAGCTGAACAGAATCTGATTATCCAACACAATCCATGGATTTGAGTTCACATGAAGGGATGCAAGTGAATCTAAGTTTTTTTACCCATTGAACCACAAAGAGTGTGGCTTCCATCAATTATATTAGATAGTTTTTTTTTTTTTGTCCTAACAAAGTTATCACAAACAAGAAAGCCTTAAGCAAAATTACATTGTTCGATGGTAAATTCAGATTAAATCTGCATGCAAAAAAAAATTATGCGTTTTAAGTTGGTATAGCATGCAAAATATGCCATGGACTTAAAGCACCACAAAACCCAAGATCACAAAATGTATGGTAAAGCATTATGCACCAGTGAAAACAAACTCTTATGTTGGTAAAAAAATGATATGAAATGAATAAATGAGAATTATAAGAGGCAGGCATTCATGCAAATCAATGAGGCTTTCACAATCACAATATGCAATCAGTATGTATCATAGCTGATGTATCACTTAGAATCAATCCCAGCATCCTTTACATCAACAGTTAATAAAATCATTTGAGCCACTTCACGACTAAACAAACATAATGGGTTTGCGACCAGAATGGATCCAGACCAGCCTGCGCATCCGCGCAGTCTGATCAGGATCCATGCTGTTCGCTATCAGTTTCTCTACTTGCTATAGGGTTTGTAAGCGGACAGCATGGATCCTGATCAGACTGCGCGGATGCGCAGGCTGGTCTGGATCCATGCTGGTCGCAAACCCATTATGTTGGTTTTGTCATGATGCGGCTCATTTGTTGTGTTAGGTGAGATAAAAGCATTTTGAAATCATCCATAATTAAACAGTTACCTCCTGTGATGGGATGAAAAAAGTATAGAGACAAAATGTTTTAATAATTTTGTTGAATCTATAATTATAATGAAAACATTATATTGCAATTTCTAGATGATTGATTGAAATAGGAAAATTGTCAACAAGCACTGAAAATCAATAAATAAATAATTAGTAGTTATAGACAGGTTATATGGTATATATACATTATATATAGCAGCCCAGGTTATATTGCAAACAACTGTTTACATATGGCCATATAACCTGTCATTTTAGAATCTTTATAACAAATTTATAACACAGTGACCAAACTTCCTCTTCAGAGAAAAAAAAGAGATTTCTTCAAAAATTGGCAGCAGCCCTGTATATTAAACTATAATATAGTATCTAATATAATTTATATTATAAATGTCATGATAATCTAATGAAAAGCGATGTTACAAATGTGCAGTATTGTAATATTAAATCATACAGTGTCACCATCACCTATTTGCATCATACCCAAACCCAAACTCCTCACACTGATAACCTCCCTTGGAAGAATTGTAATCACTGCCTTCACAGACGTCACATGATGATGAAAGTCACATGACGTAACGTCGAAATTCAAATGTTAATATCGACCGTTTCATAGAAAATCTAATGTCATTTTTCTCTTTCTGTTTTATTTTTAACTTTTTGTACCTACGTCCGTTATATTTTATCAAAAAATTATCAAAAGTATACAAAATAATGAAAAATGAATTAAAAAGCTAAAAAATATAAATATCCAAATATTGATATTTCAATGTTTGTGATGGCAGAGATCTCTGTACTGATAAGGGGAGATCACTGCTTAGGAGATTGACCCAAACCATTACCATATTGTAAATCTATGTAATGGAAAATTGTTCTGCTGCTTTGAATTTGAAACTGCCTACTTTTAATATAGGGATACACATTACATGTATAAGGAAATTTGATTTCAAATTACTGTCAACATGTGCTGCACGAACATAGTAGAATCTGTTGCATTGAAGATTTGGTTCTAAAATGAGGCCATTAGACATGTTTCTTATTTGTTTGGGGTGGGGGTGTGGTTTTAAGTCACACAGAAAGTATTATTATTATATGGCAACTTTGCATTTATTGAAAAACTTGATAAAATAATAATACAATTACTTGATTATTGAGAAAAAAAATTATATAGAAATTAATATTAATTAAATTTATATAGAAAATTTTGTACATACATACAAATATTGTAAGATATGATGGGGATGACCCTGACCCCCTCATACCTACAATGGGGAAATAAACGGGCCGTTACTCAGTTGGGGCCTCAAAAAAGTAAATCTTTGCCATGCATTTTTACTGTCACAATCTCAGGTATTGGAGCAAAAAAAAGCTAAAAACCTAGTCATACTTCTCTCATATTATTGAAATCATAGAACTCATTCCAAAACATGGTTGGTGTACCATAAGCAGTTGCCAATAATTAGTACTTGAAATAATTAAGTAATTGCATGTAGACTTTCAATAAATTTAAATGTCATTGGGTGATAAATGCTTAGATTAAAACACAAAATTGCTGCTTATTTATTACTTTACATCAGTAACTGGAGAGAAAACCTGTGTAAACAAAATAATGTGTGTGCAAATAGATTGCTCAAACATTTATTTTCCAGTAACTTTATGAACTTTTACAGAAACTTAAGTTGACTTATTTTTGTTGAAATAAAACCAAGTTTAACAGTTTTATCAAGTGCAGACTGAATTATGATTATATGTGATGCCTTTAAATTTTATAAAAATCTTCAGGTGTGACATACAATTTTTTTTAGCATTTGAAATTCAGACAACATAATGCTCTAAATTAAATCCAGATTGTTTGCTAAAAAGATTTATAGTGTTTACCCTGCAGAATACATGTATAATAATGTCTCTTAGTGCACATAGTAAATAAACCTTAACACCCCTTCACTCTTATCCTGCTTTCTTTTTCTGGAACTATGTAATCCATTTTCACTTTTTGGGATATCATATCAAGATGAAAATATTCTTAAGTTGATAGTGCCTGGTAAGAATGCATAAAATAAAAATTTCGTCTCCTGTATTAAGTGCAGTATAAGGTTAACTCCTAATATAATTTAATAGAAGTTAACCTATTATTGCAATGAGGTGACAGGATGTGCCAATTGAGCCAAGCACTATTGTGCTCAGGTGGCAAAAGGCAAATCACTTTCTGTTCTGGCAGGTTAAGGATAAGAGGAAATGTAGAAGAAACACAAACTTGACCCTGAACTTCAAAATGTGCCATACACTTACATGTCTGAACTGGTAAAATATGAAATCATATATCAATGTGACAAGTAAAATTAATTACTTTCAAATTATAAAAGAAAGAAAGAAAGAAGAAAGAAAGAAAGAAAGAAAGAAAGAAAGAAAGAAAGAAAGAAAGAAAGAAAGAAAGAAAGAAAGAAAGAAAGAAAGAAACATTATCTGTTTGGAAACATCCCTTTCCTTCAGATAAAAATTGTCTAAAATGCAGTCTTTTATAATTACCACCTGACTGTTGTTTTTGGGTGTTTTTTTTTTTTTTGTAATATCCTACATAATTATACTAAAGACTCTGGTACATGCAGTTACAAATGTTCCTGACTTCTGTATCAGTTTAACTGTTTCTGAGTTTTTCAAATAATGCCAACTTTTTAATAAAAATTATTTGAAAAGGCAGTAGAGGAAAATGACATCAGAAATACAAAATTAATGTACTGTTGTCAAATTGTCAAAAAAAACATGTAACTACGATCACATCTTGCTAATCTGCTTGTATGCCTTACATTCTGCTACTGAGCTAAGACAAGTCTGCTTTATAGACTAAGCTCATAACCCGTTTGTTGACCACATAATTATTAGAGAAAAAAATCACTGTTACATTTGTCTCTAAGAAGTACATTGAAATTTGCTTAGTGAAGAAAATGAAAATCAAATTAAATGTAGGTCTGTTGGGTTTCCAAAGCTTATTGTGTATGTGCTATTTTTTCTATATTTTCTTCAACAATTAACTTTAAATTCTGAAATTTTTATGACAAAATCTCTTGATTTAAGCCTAGATTTTTTTTATCATCATCCTGTTACTGTATTCAAACAGTATCAATCTTACATGAATTCTATTCTCCTCCTCGAGTTTTCGTGCCCGGTTACGGACGTCGGATATCATGTGTGTAAACTCGGCCTGCTGGTTCTCCATACGGCTCTTCAATGACCTCAACTCCTCCGACAACGTGTACGTGGCTTGCTCTAACGTGTTTCGTGATGATTTTGTCTCGTTCAGCTCTGATCTTAACTCCTGAAGTCTTTGAAAGTTAAATCAAAATTATTAGACTTCTCTGGTTGATGAAAATGATATTCAGTTATCAAAGAATTGTTAATAATGAATCTATTTATATATATTTAAAACAACTGAAGGCAGAACAGAAGTTTCTAATAATTTTAGACCTATAACCAATACAGTGTTTGAATTTAGAAAATAATCATTTCATGGCAACAGTTTGTGAATATCAAAGACATAATATTTCTATGAAATTGAAAGTGATAAATATGTCTCAAAACTTCAATTTCTGTATGCAAGACAATATGCTTTCATTTTTTTTTGGAGGCGGGGGTGGGGGTGGGAGTTTGGGTTTTACATTGCGCCAACATAGGATTTAAACCCACAGCGGTAAGGGGCAAAAGGTTTTAAGTCAATGACCTTAACCTCTTGGCCAGATATGCTTTCATCAATGATTGTCTACATGTACTTTAGGTGTATTTTGCCTTTATCCGAGGTGTTTTACATGCATTAGCACTGAATAAAAGCTTCTCACATTCAACTGCTACCAGAAATGCAAGCCGTCAGTTTCTCTGAGCAAAAAACATAATTACTTCAAAGTTCAAAGACAGAAGTAGGTATTTGAATATTTATGAAATTCAAAATGATAAGACATATGCTAAATATATTCAGTGTATATGATTGTCTATTTTAAATGCAGAAAAGGTATATTATCATATATGCGATAGTTGATATTGATTGGTGATTAATTCAGTTATGGTTAATTGACATGTTGATATCAGCTGATAAATATTGACAATATATCAATAAATTGTTTATGCAGAAATGAAAGCAGGAAGGAAAAGTTATATTTAAATTGATTGCATGATAAATTATTGACAATTCTGGTATGACATAAAGATAGGATCCCACATTTAGTTTATTTAATAATGAACTTGTCATACAGAAAACATTGTGAGTAGTCTTCACTTTAAAAATTTTGGTTCTGCATTCAGCAAAATCAAAAAGATGCGAGACACGTCATGGCATGGGAGGCCATAGTGTTGCTGCCTTTTTGGTATGCATCATTAATTCTGCTTCCAACTCTTGTCCTTAATGCAAAAATTTACTACTTTAAATTACATGCCAAGTACAATATAGTAGAGAAAAAAAAGAATCCCTAAAGAATGCCCAAAGCTGCAAAAATGTTGCAGACAAGATTTGAGCCAGTTTATGGACAGTTAAGTTGTAATTGCAAGGTATAAGTCAACTCAAATGATTCCAGAAACATAACAAAATTTCCAGATATGGCCGACATGGAATAATATACTCAAATATAACAAGTTAATACTTACTTCAACTGTTGAGCATCTCTTCTGTTTTGTATTTCTTGTTGACTATGTACAACACTTTTCTCCACATTTTTTGTATGACTGAACAAAGCATTTAGCGACTCCTTCTCATCTTCAATCTTATCTTCAGTCTCTTTAATTCGCATACTAAGTTGCGAGATAAGTTCATTGCTTATTTTAATTGCTTCTGACAACTGTTGTCTAGAATCTCGTTCCTCGCGCAGAACGTCTTCACTTCGTTTCGAAGTATTACGTAAGTCATTCTGTAACCGTAAAACTTCTTCCAATAAAGCGCGATTAGATTTTTCTGAAACCCCTAGGCGCATTTCAAGCTGCCTCACGCGCTCTTCAGTGTCATTATCCATGGTTTCTCTGCCACGCGCGTTACCAGGGCTGCTCTTTCTGCCGCTTCTCAGCGCAAGCTGGTTGTCATTATGTGCTCGCGGTGTCTCCCCACCTATGCCCGGGAGCTGCTCATATTTTGACGGAAATTGGTTCTGCATTTGTGGCCTGCAAATATAAAGAAATAATCATGTTATATGCCTTTAAGGTAATAAAAATTAAGGATGAAGTTACTGTAAGAACTATCACTATTATGTAATTTTAATGGCAATTTGATGTTTATAATTATGCTTAATTCTGTATGTTAATTCACACAACATATTTTTATTGCACAATTTGTAGGGTTTGTTAAACAGTTACTTTAAAACTGTCTATGCTGCATTTAAACTTTATTTTAACTCTTCTGAGGTACCCATGACATGCAAGTAATTTTATTACTTCATAATCATTTCGTCAAATATCACCTAAGCAGGATTTACAAGTAAAAAGTAAATTTCAAAATTCAAATATGTGCAATTACTAGTACTTTGAGCACTATTTATACTATTTCAGATGACTGTTGAAACTTATATCATAACCTTGATTATAATACATGTATATCATAAAAGGTCACAAAACATATCTTTTTCTTTATAAAACCAGTAATTTCTTTCATAAATTGGAAATTATCATTTAATTATGGGTATCTGTTGTCAGATATTTTTACGATCTTTAAGCTTCAAATAATTAATTTATATTGAACAATGAAGCAACAAAGGATTTATATAAACTTATAAATTGCTTTTTCTTGTTTCAGAAAAGCTTCACAAAGAATCCTGTATTTTCAATATAAAAACTAATCCCATTATAGTCAAAGAGAAATATAGATGAATGGCCAGCTCATTCACTTTAAGGTTTTCCCGTCTGCTCTTTAATAAAGATTGATTTTATCGTCATGGTCCTGACTTCGGAACACATTATCATATACACTGTTCGATGTGGTTTTATCGTTTCTAGGAACAACAGTCACGTCAACAAACGGAATTAACAAACATTGTCATTTGAAATACGTATTGATTGTAAAAGCTAACAAGAAATATAGCCAGAATCAATAACAATATGACCTGAGAATGGGTAATAATATTTCATAAAAAAAAGATTGAAACAAATTTCTCTTTTATATTAGGGTTTATTATCGTCACCTTAGTGCTGTAACGGGTTAACTGCTGTTAAATTTTTAATTGGCATTAACTCCTTACTGCACTAATTTAATGGTATTTAGTACTATTAACTCAGTTAAGAAAACTGTCTGAAGGCAATATTGACAAGACAAAATATTTTATGCAATCATGTATTACAAGTAAAATTTACCTCTGTTCTACTAATTGAACTAATTACTCTACAAACGTTTAATATTATCTGACAGAAATATTCTAAAGAAACAGACACTGACAGACACTAACATTTAAAACTAAAGCATGGTGAACTTCTGCTGATCAATACATAAATTTTTTGACCAAAATTAAATATTTAGAAGAAAGTCGATCTCAAAAGAAAATACCGTCACCTTATTGCAGTTACAGATTAAAACCTTCTAAATCTAATAGGAGTTAACCAGTTAAGCACTTAGAGGACGAATTGCAGTTTAAAGCTGCAAGCCTGTAGATGAGCCAAAATATTTCAAGAAAATAAAACTAGAGAAATATGTACTAAGATTTTAAGAAAAGAAATTTACGTTATGTGCCATTTAAATGACTGATTTTGCAGTATATCACCATATTTCTACTGTGTGAGTGAGTGAGTCATGCAGAAAAGGCAGGTATTTTTATGCTTCCCAAAGGAAGAAAAAATAGTCGCCACCTTGTCCGTCTGTCTGTCCTTCTGTCCATCCGCACTCACAGGACAGTAATTATGTGGATAGAGGGACAATAGGTAACTGTTCTTTCTCTTTCTTAATGCTTTTATGTGGCTATTTTCTTTTGTGTGGCTAAAAAGAACAATAGAGAGAACAATAGAGTAGCCACATTATTACTCTCCTGTTAGAACATCCGTTGTCTTGTCCGAAGCATAACTTAAAAACCCTTGGAGATAATTTGTTTAAACTTCACACAGTGGTAGAGGACATTGAGGCACAGCCCCGTTTTTGAATTATCTCCCCTTTTAGAAAAATCTTGTTCGAGACATAACTCGATAATTATAAGAGATATCAACATGAAACTTTGTAGGTAGATAGATCTCAATGAATAGAACTGATGTGCAGTGCGTAAGAACCGTAACTCTGCTTTCCCAAATTTTGGAGTTATTGCTTTTTAATTATTTTAGCACTTTAAACTTTGTCCGGGATGTTACTCTAAAATTATCAGAGATATCAACATGAATCTTTGTAGGTCGATAGACCTCATTGGGTAGAAGTGCAATGCAAAAGAACCTATCATTATAAGAGATTTTAACATGAAACTTTGTAGGTAGATAGACCTCAATAGGTAGATGTGCAGTGCACAAGAAATGTTACTCTTCCTAACATTATTTTGGAGTTATTGCCCTTTATTCATTTTTACATTTTAAACTTTGTCAGGGACATAACTCGGAAACCATAACAGGTATCAACAAGAAACTTTGTAGGTAAATAGATCTCAGAGTTTTACATAGAGAAAGAAGGAAACAGATCATCAAATGTAATAAATTCTCACTTTTCGATAACAAATCCCCCCTATTTTTCGAATCCTAGAATAGACACTGATCATATAACTTAGTAACAACAAATGATCATAAACAAATATAACATTTCATTGACCAAGTGAATATGTGGATGATATCATAAGGGGTCAGTGAAAACATATTTAACTATACATAAAAACTTAACCAAGATTTGATGTAGATGCAGCAGCTGTACCACCCAGTGGGTGTCAGTAAGAACAGCTATTCTTTCGTTTCTTTACACTCTTCTCAGTGCTTGATAGTAAATAAAAGCAACAAAGAAAAGGAGGCATAACCCAGCGAATGGGCTTATCAGACTGGCCTGCCCTTGATAGTCACCAGATATTTCAAGTTTGAAGTCAATGGTTTTTGAGAAAATAAATTTTACATTTATCTGCCCTTCTGAAATGTTGTTATATTTTGATAGTGAACATGTATATCAAGTTTGAAGTGAATTATAAATTTTGATAGTTACGACTTTAACAAAAAGGTAAACCAAAGGCTAAATAAAAGTCTTAGTTGAAATAGGGACATCCCTTTGCAAAAATTAATTTTTGGATCATCTGCCCTTTTAAAATGGTGTCCTTTCATGAAAATAAACATGTATGCCAAGACTGAATAGAATACCACAGTGATGTAGCTTTTATAGTTTCTGAGAAAATGGAAAAGGTTAAACTACTCTGACACTGACACCTGAATGCCGACACAGACAAGAGGGTCATGGCAATAGCTCCACGTTTTTCTTTGAAAAGTGGAGCTTGATAATGAATGATTAACAAAATCTACTATTTCATATGAAGATGTAAAACAGTCATTTGATTTGCTAAGTTGAGTAATTTTCAATGTCCTATGAATATTATATCAACTTAATAATTGCTTTAAAAACAATGCAGTGAATAATTATGTCAATAAAAATAAGACAACACATGGATAATAAAATTTGAGGTTTTGATGATTCTTACTGGAAATAAAATCACAACTTCAAATAAAATTGGACACTTTTTTTATACTTTTTTTTCTAACATTATTTTGCAACTAAGGTTTGAATCAATTTACATATAAGTATACATAAGGGGATCATTCTAAGAGCCCAGTGTTACAGCACAGCTTTGAAAGTCAATGCTTTCTGAATACTTTACAAAATGAACTAATCTCAGCACTCTAACTGTTTAAACTTTTCATAAATAATAACAATAAGATAAATCATAAAAGCTGTCAATATCAATATATGCAAGGTAAAATTTTATCTTAAAATACGGCCTTACAGTCTTAATTTGGGCAAGTTGTTAAATGGAAAGTTAGAGCAATAAAGTGACAACACACTTATGTAAATCAGGGCTCTGAGTCTCTGAATAAGAGATAATATAGCAATTTGAAACAGACATATCAATATAGTTTTAAGGAAGGAAAATTTTATTGAATATATTTTCTTTAACTTGTTGACTTTGGATTCATGCCAGTTCGATAAATACGTTGAGGTTATTATAGGCCAGTCGTAATATAAACTGTAGATATTTTAACAAGTTTTTAAATGATCAATTTAAGTGATCTTCATATCTTATGAAAAATGTTGAAGAAAAAAATCTTTTTCTTTTTGAAGACTCTTAAATCTGCACTGTGAATATTTTTGGTGCTTACCTTCTCCTTAACTTTTGATACATAATAGAATTTGTTGACAACATGTAGGTCAGCAGATCAGGTTTTTTTTTTATCATCTTTATAATCACAGATAAAAAAGTGATCCTTAGACATATGCAGCGTCACAGTACCTTATAGGGCTGCTTTATTGTTTTAGGAATAAATTTATAATAGCAAAACTTATTATTTGTCATTAAAATATGATCAACATTATTATTTTTACCTTGGTATTATATATAATCAGAGTTTTACAGGGTCTCCACTGATATTTTTTTACCTGACAGGGCTGTAATTTTTTATTCAAGATTTTTATGGTCTTTAAAAAGAAATTTGTCTGCAAACATTTCAGATCATTTTCAAACTCCTTTATTCCATTATAGTCAATTTTATTGTGCAATGTGACCTAAAAGCATAAGGTGTTGAAACATTTTTATTAAAATCAGACTAAAAATTGCACCAGATGGGGTTAATTTTACTAAAACTGGGCTAAAATTCACACTCAAGATATTGATATTCAATTCAAATTTTGATAAATTTCTTATCTTTTTATGTTTTACCACTTTGAGTTGATGTATGTAAGATTTTCTTAAATTTTAGGACTTTTGGCTTTTGAACCTCACAGTCCTGAGCTCCTTTAAATATATATCAAAGTAGTACAACTGACTAATGTGGCCTGTGACCTTAGTGGTTAAAACCTGGTCTAAGAGCTAAATTGACATAAAGAGCAAATTCTAAATACCAACTAAATATTGTCTATTTATATAAAACAAAAATTGCAAACTGAATTACCAACCAGTGACTATATTGTAATAAAAGTTTTTATTTTCTCATACTTCTTTTTATACTGCAAAAAT